TGAGTTAGCTCCGTTGGTACGGCAGATTAATACACTGTCCCCTTTGAAATACGTGATATGTGCGGGGGTTACACAGAGAGGTTAATGGGCAACCGCCAATAACATTTAGGCGCGATTTCTTTATAATGGTTGAAAATATTTCGCAGCATCTGTCGATTACAAACATGCATGTTACCTGTTGCGCAGATCTAGAATATTAATGTTTCACGTTACAATCGAGTTCTTTAGGTTGTTGCCATCAAAACGTTATCTTCATTTTTTCGTGAGTGTCAGCGAGTGATATCGTATATATGTAATATAGTATATCGATGCATCGTAACATTTCACACCACGATCATCTACACATCAAAAATGGAGCTTAGCGTGAGTTCAATACATCTTCAAAGAACTCGGGACTGATGATCAAAAATAGCAAATAGTTGTTACTTGTAATAGTATAGATTACTTGAGATTTACACCACTGTTGCTCATGTTCGTCGGCTATCAGACATAAATCTACTCTGGGTGTATCGGCTACCACTCTTTTTCCTCTCACACTTTGCACCATGCTGGGGTACCATTTTCACACCCGTGCTTCAAATGCAACTTTATACACCCTCATTTTAATCCATTGCCTCACACGTGTATAACATGTATCACATTTTGTGAATCTCTATACAGCATCGAGTGTGGTACATTTCGATCTATTGTATTCCATCATGCATGTTCCTATTTGGCGTTTTAATAAGTCCATCGATGTATATCAATAAAGGGGCTGACCAATATCATAGATTATCCTTACTAAATACTATGAAATCAGAGTCCTAGTGAAACATATGATACATTAATCACCACTTTGATTAATTTTTATCGTATTCTTTTTCGATAATATAAGAAATACTTACCTATACAAACAGCGTCGAGAGCGAGCCAGGCGCCAGAAAGGTAGAATTACAAGATGAGTGACGTAATTTGAAAAATGCTTAATCCATCCGACTATAAGATATTGACATTTTTATAACAAACCAACATCTCTTTAAGTCCATTTGCTTTTCAATATTCATTGTTACAAACATTTTAGCGTTGTAAGTACTAGTGGTAATTCGCATAAGCACAAGATAGGTTCATATAAAAAACATCAAAGCGGTACTTGCTTAGAACGTGACAAGTGGTAGTATTATATAATTTTGGGAGTGAACGGAAATGTATTCTTTCTAGCATAGATATTAAAGGGAATCTAATAGCTTACTCTCCTTTTCTCGAGAACCCGAGTAGAATAAATGAGACCGAAGATATGACATGGGTTCGATATTTTTCTAACAGCTACCGTTTATTTTGCGTACCGCGATAAACCTAAACTCCCCCCCCCGTATTCTTCAAAATATGATTGAAATGTATTTGATTATATTGAATGTTTTAGTGTATCGCATGTAATGGACATACATGTACTGATCATCATTATGCGTCGAAAAGCCGGGAGTGAAAGTCTATACACTGGATGAAAACGTTTAACAGAAACTATAAGAAGGCTTAAGGGATAACTCCACTATTAAATGGCCCGATACAATTCAATTGAAAAACATGCAAATCTTCGGATCAATTATGAAAAAAAAGATTTCAGTTACCAAACCACATATACCACGTTATAGCTCCATATGTCCCCCTTGGAACTCGAAATGTCTCTAGAAAAAAGAGCCACCAAAAGCAAAAGATCTGATCGACCGCTTTTGCCGCCATTTATTCGAATTTTCAACACTTTTCAACAGATTTCAAACTCAAGACCACCGTCACAAAAAGTCAAATATCTGTAGTGAACCAAATAATTTCATAATACTTTTTATGAAATTATATACACAAGAGATAAACAAAATAAAATGTAAAGTCTACATTTTCACTGGTGATTGCACTGAAAAATCTGGATTTCCATCAACCATTATCCCGATTTTAAACATAGATTTTTTGTCTACCATTTCAACAGCTGCAACAGCAACATCTGTGGAGTAATCCCCAAGCTGCTGAAATAGTTGTTAGATATAACTAAGTATCAGAAAGATGGTGCAACACATGGTTTGCAAAGGATTCAAGCAAACCAGTTATTGTTCACCAGTGACATCTATACAACATTCATTGGTTATTATCAAACGAAGGTAACGGCCGTCACCTTCGCACCAAAGATAGCTGACGGGAAGTGTCGGTTTTGATATTTTTAGTTTGCATCAAATAAAACTACTTTATAGTTGGCGTAATGCTTTGATATTTGAACCAAATCAGACCCATTTGACATGGGAACTATGGAATATGATAATTTGTTCATATATCATGCGTGGGCGCCACAGTTCAAGGATATCTTCCACCGCTTAGGGGAAGACATATCGAATAGACACTTCCCGTCCGCCGTCTTTGATGCGAAGGTGAAGGCCGATACTCTTGTTGATACTGGCCAGTGAACATTGCAATATCAAGACAAGTAATTGAAGACATTATTGTTCACCCGATGAGGACTCCAGAATCAACCGATACGCGCCTCTCTGGCTCTATTTGACATTGCAAGATAAACATGCTTACGGGAAATGACAGTTAAACTATTGTGGTTACACTATTCATTTAGATATGCGCAAACCGATTTTTGCAATGATGAAGGGCCATATCAAAGATTATTGCATGATTAAGTTGATGTCCAAATTTGTTTAACTGGCCCAATTTATCTTGTATATTAATTATCAAACGTTCTGACTAATAATACCCAATGGTTTTTACCTTTAGTGCAGCATACAGATGGAATCTTAACGTTCCTGAAAACGCTCAATAGAAGTGTTTTACATATTCAATGAAATCCAATGTAAGGTTTGGTCAATGAATCGTTTCAGGGGTTTCCTTTGTTTTTTCGAAGCATACGGCACTTTCAGGAATTTGTGACAGGACCATTTATAGAGAGGTTATGCTTTACCTATTTAACAGAGATGAACGTGAACTTACCCTACTATCACACCAAATTAGTTCTCACTACGTTCTCGAAAACGGGCTTCAACTGTGTACGGACGGACTGGACCTACTAAGAACCGTTTGGGATCTATTTACAAACTTCATCGAACGTACTCGAACGGATAGGTTCTCTAGAACTTAGACAATGCTCAAAATGTTCTCGTGGTCGTCACGTTCTACAATTAGAACGAGTGACAACGTACTAACGACAAGCTGGACGTACTACTAACGGAACCGTTGTACTTCAATCCCATAGGGACGTTTTAACAACGAGTTGAACTGTCTGAGGACGTGTTGAGAACGAGGTAGAACTAATTGCAAACGGGTTTAAACTGATTAAGAACGTATTTAACACTGCTTATGAACGAGTTAGCAAAAATATAACTATCACACCAAACAAGTTGCCACTGCGTTCTTCAAAACTGGTTTTAAACTGTGTGCGAACGGAATGAACGTAGCTGCAACTTTCTAAGGTCTATTTACTAACTTTATAAACGTTCTCAGACGGGAATGTGATTTTAGAATTTTGAATCGATTCAAAATTCGATGGCGACCATACCGTTCTGTAATCAGGTCATTTTGACCTTCTAGACTAAGGGACGCGTTCTACGACGTTGCACACCGACGTGGTGCGACCTGAACGAACTGCAAACGAGATGGACGTATTGAAGACCGTTTAAGAACGAAGAAGTTAATTATTTCAGACATATTTCCCGACCACAGCCAGATTGAGCCCGTTTTACGACGTTTTCGTAGGACTGGCAAAAACGGGTAAAAACTGGTTTGGTGTGATAGGGGGGTTAGATACGCACGCAGAAATTGACGTCAGATTAGTCTACACATCATCATGAAAGTTACTGGTGCTAATTTGTAGAGAGGGGACTATTTCAGCCACGTTGTAGAAGAGTCAGAAACCTTTGCAATACGTATGAACTTGGTTGTCAAATTTAGAAAGCTGACTTCTCAATTTCAGATTCTAAACGGTTTTAATGGTAAAACGACAACTTAAAAATGTGATCATTTTATGTCATAACAACACTAATAGGCCTAACTGTAAGGCTTGGGTAGAAAACGGAGAATCGGTGAATTATCCATACTTAGTATAGCCAAGTCATCGATCAAAGGGCGCACCGACAATAGTATGTTTTTTATATAGTATAGTTTTTTGGTTGACTTTCCTATTCTACTACATGAAGTTAGATCATCGTTCACTTAAGGTCCGAAAAAGTTAAACAATTGGATTTTTCAGTTACCTTAGACCACATCCGGAACTAAAAAAATCATTTCATTGTTGGTCACGTGAATATGAGACATAACGCATGGGCACATCGGCGATATATCTAAGGGGATCATTACAAGAAACGCTGGTAATTTTAAATATATCATTCCCTTACTGTCTCCAACTGGGATGTGTGTCCGTCGAGTATGAAAGTATTGGGTAAAATATTAATGATGTTTTTACCATTATTGAGTCATTTGTTTGTGATCTACGACTGCATCTGTAAGGACGCCACATGTACGTGGGCCAAGAGATCTCGTAGTTTGAGTGACTGATACATCAGACTCAGCGACACTGCATGGGGGTTGCGAAAAGTTACTTATTGAAAGTACTTGCAGGCATGATTATTTCATGATTGCAATTTGACCGAAAAAAATTATTTACAGTATGTTAATGTACAGTGCATGACCGATGGTTTCATTCTAGCAATCGAGGTCTTAATTATAACGATTTAGATCGTATAAACCAACTTTTACATTTACCGATCTGTAATAAAAAACGAGTTATAATGTATGTTTTTAGCTAATTTGACATCACAATCGTGTTAGAATTCTAGGTGTTCTAATAAACAGAAAAACACACAAACAAACAAATCTTGTACAGACGCCATTTTGCATAGGTTGTAGAACTTGATCTAGTTACACAAAATTCGAGGATCACATACACGTACAGCATCACAAAACGCGAAAATCAACGGAGAATGCGAACGTGAGAGTGAACACACACGTTCAGATTCACGTTTTTATATTAACGCGTATCTAATAAACCTCTGTATCAACGGAACGTCAAATCCAATGTCAGTAGCATTTACACCATGAAGTACTAAATACGGTACAAAAGCCATATCGGCGTTTCAGGTAGAATGCAAATATCATTATCAGGTATATATGGCTTCTCTTATCATATTCAGTGTATTTGCGTCTTACATATTACATATAAAATCAATAAAACGATTTGTCAAGATCACGACTGCACTCAAAATTATCAAAAATACTCTTTTTCAGTTTTACTAATTTATAACTGATAATTCAACAAGGGTTTCCGGCAGATTGAAAACAATTTTTTTGCTCTCATATGTCAAGCCCGTGTGTGACTCTAGACGCAAATGGAAGTCTCTATTCTGGTCTGTAAACACACTCATCCAATCTCGAAGAACAATGTGAAATGTACACATTAGAATGCGACAAAGATAAGATAATATGTGCAGAATACAACTATACTTGAATTTATTTGAATACAAACCATTGGAAGGCTAAAATCCAAGAAACGTGCACTTGGATGTTACACTAACCAAAATGGCAACGACAATGGAGATGTCGGGAGTAAAATCTAACGGGAAGGTACGTAAGTCAAATATGTTCTTGTTGTCTTTTGCGCCTATAGTCCTGCAATATATTGCCATATTTTCAAGAATGATGGAAATTTTGGATGCATGCTATATTTGTAACTTTTCAGTATATTTAGGGTGTCCTGAATTCAAATCTGCCGGATGCAATTTGAGTACTTTGCGGCATTAATTTGTACAGTCATTTCAATATATGCATCCCAGGGTCTATTTTCTCAATTTTTTCAATTCAATGAATTTGCGTTTGCTAATTTTAAAATATGATAATGAAAAGTTTGAACAATTTTAAAATACTCGTGATGAACATTTCAAAGCTGAAATATCGTTTCATAATATTCAAAGAACCAAACTCCAAAGCATTCACATGTACCAATAACGGATGACTTTTAAGGAAAAAGTGATATGATTACCGTTTTCGTATTACCATTTTAATTAGCGTTTTAAATCTCATACGACACCAAGTTGGCTCCATGCCAGGAATCTTCAATGTTTTATTAATCATGACAACTGAAAGTGTTCTAATTGTAAAAGGCATCGTCAAAAAAATGTTCGTATTGTGTTTGAAAAATGTTTAACAAAGTTTCAAACTCGTCAACTTCAATCAACATTCGATGTCGTACATAAAATCGCATAGGAAGGACAAAATCGTGGAATGATTCATTGCGACGATTTATATCCAGAAAATTATCTCGATGTAAACAGAGTAGTTATCCCGAGCTTATGTTTTTAACCCTTTCATTTCTACCTGTAAATATATATGCTCAAGCTTTCTCAAACAACTAATACATCTAATGGCTACATTTGCATTTAGTTCAAATACATTTATAATCAACTACTTTGCCACATTCTTGAATTGTCGAGCTTTTATGGTTTCGATGTTAAGCTCTAAAAGATAAAATATACTCGTGACTTAAGTTCAATGACTCTGGATAAAAACAAGGTCGTGAAAAACCTTACGAAGACTGCAGTTTTTATTTCGTATTCCATTTTGCTGTTGCATTGAGGATCTTTATATGACCTATTCAGGTCAAGTCGCTTGATTTATACCCGTGATGTCGTGATGTAATAATTAACATATTATCTCTAATTATTCAATCCTACTTAGTTAATTATATAAGTAATGAATTAATGAGTTAAATTGAATTCCACAACTGAATAGTTATTCACAATGTCTTCAAACTGGACAAAGGCATCGATTGTCTGATCTAACGACGTTTGACCTCAGGATTTTGTCTCTCACCTGCGGGTGACGTTATCTTTCTACCAAATGTTTTATGATGAAGGCCACTTCGTACACTCTTTATCTACCGAACTCGACCCCTGCTGTTTACAAATATACGGTACGTAGTTGCATTGATATATATATATTAAAAGTAGGGTCTCTCGAAATGTAAATGTGTGAAGATAGAGTCGATCAGAGCATTCGCCTAAGATAACATTCAATAAAATTCATAATTTTTAGCAGTTAGTTCCTGCACCAAAAAAGCGCTTTGCCTGTAAAAAAGCTGGGATCGGTTGATGAAAATAAAGAACAGAACATATCGATACATACGAGTACTTCATAATGGAGATTAATGAAAACAAATCTTGAAAATATGATACTTTGGACAGCCTTACCCATTCATAGTTCCCGTGTATAAAGAAGTAACTTTGTAATTTGCGCATTGTCATCGTAATTCGTGCGATGAATATGCATACGAATTCCAAAGGTGCTTTTTGTACGTCTCTAAACGGTAATGTTTTTTGTCAGCTATTGGTAGCTACATAGTTGTTCAATAATTTCCCTTTTCAATATTTAAACCAAATTGTAATTTATGGAAGATTAAATTAGTTTGTCACTACTTCATCGAAAAATGGCATTGGTGTCAGAGACTTTGGACTATGAAAATCACAGGATATAGAAAATACTATTCTTGTATATTTGTTGACAAAGATACCACAAAAACGAATTACCGTATTTCAATGCAGTGATATACTTCTATATCCTGCGATAGTCCCAAGAAGAACATTGAAAAATAAAAGATTCGAGCAATTTGCATGAATTTATTGAACGACCTGCTATTTTAACAGTAATACCGAGTGTTACAAAAATTGTACCAAAAGTTGACAAGAATTACTCTTTTTCTTCCTTAAAAAGTAAGTTTTTTACATGTATATAAAATTCATTTTTCAAAATTCATACTCACTGAGAAATTTAAACTTTTAGAGACATGTATTCTTTATAACCTTGACCACGATCGATGTAGAAATGAATGCAATTCTCAACACAGAAAAATTGGTGATTTTGCTGAAACGAAATTTTTTCTAAAACTTAATAAAATTACCCATTATAAAATCTTAAGATGTTTATGATAATTGGATTATCGACTGTCAAAAATATCCGTCCCTTCATCATTCACATAGTTATTTTATGTTTGTGTCCTTAGTAGTTACACATCTTATGATTATGATTCTTAAATTGTGTGTCAAAAATTTTCCTTCATTATTCATAGGGGTTACTCCGTGATTCTCTCTGTTCATTTTTTGGGGGAACACCCTGTACAAAAATCTATATATTGCAGACCTTGATTTATTCAGAATTTACACAGGCTTTGATCTATTTGTGTGTCATTGGCGTTGTATTGATACCTTTGGACCAGTTTGAGAGTGTACTTGTTTATTCGTGGGTCTAAAACCTATTTATAATTTACAATTATATTCAAGTATTACGCATGCGCGCTATGTACAATTCGTAACTATTGTTTCGAAGACAATCCCTGGATTAGCTTGTTGGATTATTTCAGAGTACTTAGTGGAAAAGTGCAAATATGCAAACCAAAAAGGTATTTCAATTTACGCATTTTGACATCGCGATTAAATAATCTTATAGCTGTTATCACTTGATTCATTTTTAATTAGTAGATTGGTCTTATTGGTCTTAAATTTCATTACATTGCAATATTGATCTGAACTTGAAACGGTGCCAGTGAAAGTAAGCCCGGATGATATCATAAGTTATGGTATATTTAAATAGTTACTGTTCTACAATTGAATATTCACCAAAAAGCTAGGTCAATTAAAAGTATTCCTGGAACATAATTTTGCATTATACAAACTGAAGTTAACTACTCAAATTATATGATAAAGGTGGTCTACAAACTTGTGTTTACCAATATTGTTTACTTTTTAAATAATCATTTTTATAGTAATTTTTAACATTGTACATGGGTATTGGATGAATATAGTCCATTGACTTTAACATATAAATGCAAGTATTGCAGTCACTCTGTCTCCAATCGAAAGGACCAGTCTGAAGCGCTGAAATTCAAATGCGCATATGTCAATGGGTATTATCAAATTTAAGTAAAGGAGTGTGGCAATTTATAATGATAATCTAATATATTAAACAATAATTTTTTTGATGTAAATAGAGGTCAATACTGATAATCTTTGATTTACATTTATCATTATTTATGATGATCATAAACTTGTTGAACAATGGATTCACATGAACACTCGTAAACATGACAATGTATTAGCATTAGCTACTTCGTGTACTTGAGTGTCGGTGTAGATTCGATATGAAGTAAGCTTGTATTCGCGAATGCGCCTGTAACGCCTGTCGTCTACCAGATTGACCTACTATTTTATGACCAACTCGTTTAGATATGAATGGAATAGTGGCAGGTAAATTGAAATGAGTTGCCCATAAAATAGAAGGTTAATCCGGTAGCCGACCGCCGAAAGTTGCATTCGCGAATGCAAGCTAACTATATTGTCTCGATACTGGACTTTTTGGTAGAGGGGGTATTTTTGAATATACTTCTAAATGAACCAAAGTTTCCTTTGTGTATCTTCCCTTGATCTGCTCAGTTGCTAAGAGAACACAACAACTCATGTTGGTGCAATTATTTTATTTTAATATGAAATAATAATGATAATAATATCAATAAGCAAGTTGGGTAGTCATATCTGAAGTTGGATTGAAGTTGAAAACTGTTCACAAACAATAATACAATCTGTATATATTTAAATATAAATACTTTTCACATCCACTTGTTATTGACAATCAGTAACCGTTACATAAAGGATCGTGTTTTTTACAGAATGTTTTCAATAATTGGTTTAAGAAAAAACATGCTGAATTCAGTTCACCATATCGCTACCCATCCTTTGATATATACATAGCTATATCATAGCTTAACTATCCTGTTGCTTGCTATGCAACCCCATCCTTTGCATTCTACTAAATATCATATTTACAATTTTTATTTCACTGTTTTGATTCTCATTTTGTGCTGATTGAATCCGCTCTACATGATAATATAAATCCTGTAATACTTCCCTGGTATACCATCCATCCATTATTCGTAGATAAGCTACCCTTCTCCCTAAAGACTTAGATACATTATCACAGGGTGCGTACCAAATTAAGCGAGAAAATTGAACGCACGGGCAAATACCAATTCCTTGTGTTGTACCGTACCGTTGTGTAGGTTTAACTATGAAATTCACCGTCAAGTTCACTGGCGATGTAGTTTCAGACATGTGTATATAGAAATATCGAGAAACTAGACCACATCTTTCTGAAACGACGAAAACAACTGTTTGCTCACATTTCATCACCCTCGTGTCGTACCGTACCCAGCGCGTTCACTGTCACGCTTAATTTGGAACGCACCCTGTAACTACGGTGAATCCTAAAACAAGTAGTCCGTTCTCTCTTCTTTGGATACTAAATCAAATTAAAATGTATAATTCGTTGATAGAATAATACTGTCATATTGTGAAAAGGTATTAATGCATATTTTCTCAGGACGGATTCAAATGAATGTACTTACTGTACGATACAAGTTAAAAGAAATGTCTACCAAAACCATTGTTTTACTTTAATAAAGATACACTCCCCTCTATAAGTTTGGCAACCTTTTTTCCCCCATTGAACTACGTGTTAAAGCCTCTTTACCTTTGAATTTTTATTTACTTAACCTGCGATGAAAATACTTATATTATTGATGGAAACGTAATTTGACTTTAATTCCAATACTTCCAAATTTTCACAATTTTTTTCCTCAATTACAATAGGTCGAAAATTGATGATAAATTTGATGAATTTTTGAAAATCGACATTCCCATGTTAACCAATGGGAAATGGTAGGTTTGCCGCAAGTCATATGACAGAATATCCATCTATCCGAGTCCTTGCAAAAAATACGAGTTAGGCAGGCAATTGAATTTGCTAACTTTATTTAACAAGAAATTGATATGTTTCTTCAGGTTCAACAAAGTTATAGGGCTTTTAAGTCAAAATTGTTTTTCAAAAAACCTCTCCCATTGAAATAACACAGGAGGCGAAAAATTATTTTCAAAAATGACTTTGAAGCGCTGTAACTTTAATATTCATCAAATAAACGAAACACTTAGTGTTCAAAAAAGTTAGACAACTCAATTTTCTATACAAAAATATTTTTTTGCTGAATCTTTTACTTAAAAGATATCCTGATTTCTGATTTGCCCCGAACCCTCCATTTCCCATTGGATTACATGGGAATGACGATTTTCAAAAAGTCATCAAATTTATCATCAATTTTTGACCTATTGTAATTGAGGAAAAGAATTGAGAAAATTTGGAGGTATTGGAAATAAAGTCAAGTTACGTTTCCATCAATAGTATAAGTTATTTCATCGCCGGTTAAGTAAATAAAAATTCAAACGTAAAGAGGCTTTAACACGTAGTTCAATGGGGGAAAAAGGTTGCCAAACTTATTGAGGGGAGTGTAAATACCATCATCTTGCTCTATAGTATATCATTTCATTTCTCATATAAAACATATACTAGCACTTGACCATCATCGGTGACAAAAGCGGCTAAACCCATGCTTTGCTTATCACCCAGCTTTCCACCGACCATATATGGCCATACTCACATTCCGGCCATCTTGGATTACCAGGAAGTAGCGTTCCTAGTGATATTAACATATTATGGTAATACTTTCAGGATGGTATAGACAACATGGGATATCAGGTTCGTACAGTGCACCCCACGTATACCAATCACAAAAGCTAGTTGTTCAGCCACTATGATCTGGTGATGTATTATATGTACATGGTGTTTTGCAGTTGATGTTTGTACTAATATTGTCGTATCATCTGTCCTTGATTATATGATCACTAGCCCGGAACGTTCTTGAAATGATATATATACGACAAAAGAAAAGTTTCTATAATTTAAAGAAAAAATGCAGTGTTGTACATTATGTTCCTGCTTCTCTGATCACTGCCGATTGAAATTAATTACATAACTGATCATGAATGTTTAATGCATGCGACAATCGTAGTTATCTGAAGCAAAATAAAACGATACCCGAAGACATTCATATTTCCCTCTTTTGGAAACGGGTGTTCTTGATACCAGAATTGTTGCCATGGCAAATCAAAAATCTAGGAGATACGATACACATACATCTATATTAAGATTTAGCAGAATGGAAAAATACACAATCGATACAAAAAAAACCTAAAAACGAAAATGATCCTCCTTGTTTTCGTTGCATTTATCTTGAGACAAGGTATTTGTTTTTCTGAGTCGGAACGGGTGTCATAGTCCGTAGACAAAATATCAGCATCAAATTCTCCGTCGTAATATTAATTTATTTTCTCATTTCAGGGTGATGTCAACCCAGCATTTGAACTAGAGAGCAAAACTGACTTATCAAAAAGATCTGGGGATGAAGCTGAAGAGCCAGAAAAAAGGCAGGCCTGGGGCGGCCAACTGGAATTCATCCTTACGTGTGTTGGCTATGCCGTCGGATTGGGAAATGTCTGGAGATTCCCCTATCTTTGTTACAAGAATGGCGGGGGTAGGTCTATATAGGCTTCTTAATTGTCCTCAACTATAGTATTTTCTAACAATTTCGACCCATTAAAAACAAATAAAAAACTTTGTCACCAGACTATTCCCGAGCTTCATATTCACCGTTGCTTATATACATATGGAACGTTTACCAATTTACCATTGACTCATCGTTTTCAATGCCCTCTCAAATTTTAATGATCGGAGCTTTTCAAATATCAAATCGGTCAGGAAAAAAACTAATAAACACATTAATTTCGTATTTAACAACATTTTTCATTTCCCAAGATTTAATTCTTCAGAATCCATTAAAATCATGGAAAATATTCTGCTAAAAGAGCGTATTCTTCCAACGGTAAAAAAGGTTTGCTTGGATACATTCTCTAACTGATCATTTTAGATATTTTTGGACATTCACTCTTGTGAATTTTTAAAAACCCATTGTCCATGCATTAATAGTAGCTCAACGGTTAAATGGGGAATAAGGTTTCTGAATGAGATCATTTACCAACATGTGATAGTAATATGAAACTACACAATGTAATAGTAGAGACAATGGGCATTTGAGTACAAATGATGCTCAAGTATCTTCTTAATAGGGAGGTAAAGTTACACATATTTTGACCCCTTTCTCCTGGTGGTCAAATAAACCCCTTTACTCCTAGCCTGGTGAGTTAGTTATAAACGACATGTATATATTTGATATTATGTTAATACAAAACTTAACATTTACACGTGGTTGTTTGGGTTGGGGCATAACAGTACCGCTCTCACTTCACTTTTCGGGGACCTAATTACAATTATTTTCTGTATACCTTTATACTCAATTGGTCCAGTAAACACTACAAATGGGAGAACTATAATCCAAAGAGGTCATAATTCTACACTATCACGTACACGTTTTTAAATAAACATACTATTAAAAAATCTGCATGACTTGCTCCAACATTATTACTTTATTCCGATAATATTATATCAAAACGAAAATAATGACTTTACATTTAATGAAATAAGGGACAGTAACGGGACATTTGCATATCAATTTACATGCGCATCACCTTGTATAAGGTACAATAATCTGCATATTCATTTTACATGTCATGTTTATTAATGACTGTAATAGAAGATGGACTCACACATAGCTGATTACAGTAATAGACAATCACCTTACACAAATGTAAATTTCATCGCATCCATTGAATTCAAGCTGTGTATTTTATCAAAAGGTTCAAGCCTTGAAGTTTTACATTTTCGTTGTACTTATACTTATCATTTATTTGAGCGCCCACTTGATATGTGAGCTACTTAATATTATTTGAAAATGAGTTGAGACAAATCATAAGATTACAGGATGACTTTTGACAATGATAAATCATTATGTTTAAGTGTTGCATTATCTTGTGACTCTCGATCTAATGTATTGGATTTACATGACTTATCTAGACTTGTATAGTCATACGACAGTCTTAAACGAGCCACTTTACATGAAATGTCCACTATGTACAGATAAAGTTTACAAATGGCGACGACACACGAATGTGCATCATGATAAACCATGACATCTCACTTCTTCTCAGCCCTGAGATGTTTCAGGTGAAACAGAAAGATGCTATGCGTATCAGAATGGCGAATACGCAGGACACAAAATAATTCCCCATGTTGGTCGTGAAGTAAGAATTCTGAAAAACCTGGGAATCAGTGTTTCATGTGTTAAATGCGATAAATTAACGAATTTAAAATGTCCCTTTTGTATGGAGAATTTTTTAAGTTCAATCCAAATAATTGAAAATATCAAGTACACGTAGCTGCATTTAACTCGATTGAAGAAAGATATTACCAATTTTATGATTGTTTCACATATCCCTTTCATCTTTGACCGATTTGCAACAATGAAATTTGCAGTTAGAGTTGAGTCATAGAATCATTGAAGTGTAAGGTCTCGTCTGTATAGGTTGTGATGAAATATGACAGCAAAACAAATCTCCAAACTCTCCCACTTTTGTTATATGTCACCCTGTGTTTGCGCCAAAATCAACGCTGGAACTTTATGCAAACCAAAACAAAATAATATTAAACACAATGCAAAAGTGGCAATCTATGCTAGTATCTTGTCACACTAGCCATGCGTGGTAACTAGGCTGGACCATTTTCATAAATTGTGATAAACGATAACATTTGAACTGCACTACACATGTCATTCAAAAGGTCGAGGATGTTCAAATCATGAGACTTGCCGATCAATATCTAGTGCTCCTTAGATCTTAGGTCATGTTGAGATGTTTATTTACATTCTTATCAAACTACATTATAAACTTTCAAGAGATCTCATAAAGGGTGGCGCATATCGTTTAGCAAATCGAACGCTCGTTTCTGGTGTTGCTCACCGTTTAGTATAAAAGGCCCGATTCCGGAATAGTACTCTGGGGTTCACAGGCTCGAGATCGTTGTGTCAACACCTCTGTTATGCCTTGGTCACATTTGCTCCGATTGTACGGCGCCCGGCCGATTGAGTATTCTGTTCAAAATTGAATACAATATTGAACAAAACATCGGAGCATATGTGACAGGCATAATATAGCGTTTTAGTATATTATTGATCATCACACATTTATAAAAGGGAGATTTTCATTTTGACGTTTCGGGATATTCTATTTGTGTTTGATTGACATCTAAAATTGCCCCATAGTACACAGCTTGGCATATGAAATATCATCCAAATGAAACAAAGCAGTTCTAATACAAGGATTTATATTGGCTGTTATACATGAATTCTTTGAACAATTACTTTATCTGCTAAGAAAGTTTCTATTAATTGGATTTTACAAAACTCCCCTTATTTCTTAAAAATGGACTGGTCTAGTTGACTCGCCTGGAGTCGCCATATTTTTTTATACGGGAAGCTTAGCGGAACCCTTTAACGAGGCGAAATTGACTTAATATATGACTGAAATCGGGAAGACAAAATTTGACATTCACGAACAAAATTGCTTGTGAAAACTATTTACAAAAGTGTTCCAGAGACTAATCGACTTGGCTAAGGTTTTATTTGAAGATACATTGCCTTATTAAGCAGGTAGAGAGGGGCATACAGAACACGGAAGCAAATGCAATGTTGAAAATTTTATATATTTCCGTTTGAAAATGTTATTTCATGTCACGTAGTCCAGTGTTCCATATGGGGATTATATACATACTTTACTTGTTTACATGGACGTAAATCAATACATGAAATCTGCAGTCTTCCGGGTTTTATCATCTGGGTTTGTATTGTCTTATTGGGGCTTTCCGACTTTGAAACAAACATTACTTTAAAGGATTTGTGTCTCAGGAACATTTTTGTAAATAGTTATTTTAAACAATTCTGAGAGAATATCACATATTTTTGTCTTCTCAACTTCAGTCATGAATTGCGTCAATTTTGCGTGCAAACATTGGGTGGACGTTGTCATGACCGGGTGCCCAAACGTGTCAGGAACACATAGATACTCGAATGATGTTGATTGGACATCAGGGTGCAGAGAAATCGTAATTTTACTGAGTGGCTTCACGAAAAAAATAAGCAGCATTATAAGCCACCTTAAGAACTTTTTTGTTGTTGTCAAGATATCGAAGATTCCCTTTCTGTTTTTCAACATTGATTCTAATGACTTTAGTTTGAATAAGATGACCCAACATATTATGGTCTTGGAATTGGTACAATGGTTTTTGATTTGTGAGTTACGGAGGGATGTGCGAGACATCTTTGTGCTGTCAGATCAACAGGGTATGTCTGTGGGTTTGTCTTTTACGGATCCTTCACTCAAAGGGCTCCATTTATTTCTCAATTTAGAATTGAAGTACCCTTGGACCTAGCATGCGTTTATGTTTCATTGCCATCAATTACATTGTTATTATTATGCAAGCACTTCATTTAGTTTAGTCATAATTGCCGAGTCATTATTGTTAATATACCAGGTATAATAGTAGTCTATGACGTCTATGAAGTGATTATCTTAGTATCCTAAATCCAGGGATAGTATTCAAAGAGACCTACTGTTGGCAATCGTTTTGAATAATATACCAAATGACGTGGAATCGCGGTATATTTGTCAACTATTATTTATATGACTAATATAAGTAAAGAAATTATCACATCATTATTTCTGATATCTTCCCAACATTTAAATACACATTTTATAATAAATTTTCTATATATATATATATATATATATAGCAAATTACTAAACGAAGAGAAACTCGGTATTCTTACAAGAAACTTGCTCTATAGACTAAATAGATTCCATATTTGATATTCCTTTATAATGTACCCTTTGCATATTAGTTCGACTTCTCGTTTTCTAAAAGAGAGCTACGTGCAGGGTATTAATGGCGTCACAGTGTTTTTAAAAAATGATTCTTCGATAGGGTACTCGAGTAAGCTTGTTTTTAATTCTGTTTATACCTCTCAACAATTATCTAACAGCAATCGTGGTACTTATGTCATTTTGACTGAATTGGTTAAAAGTGTTTTTTATCTTATCAACTATAAATCGTATTATAACTTATGAACATTTTAGATTCTTCAACAAACAATCTTCGACGTGCCATGACAATGGCTATGCTAATAAATCAAAAAGCCCTCCATACGAGTATTTGTAAATAATCGTATTAGAGAGTAATGTAATTAAGTTATTTTTCTTATTTGTAGGAGCCTTTTTAATCCCGTATGTTATAATGCTGGCCTTCGTTGGACTCCCTTTGTTTTTCCTCGAGCTGTCTTTTGGCCAGTTCACCAGCCAAGGCCCCCTCTCAGTATGGGCTGTTAACCCTCTCTTCAAAGGTAAAGACTGTTACATATTATGGATTAAAAATTGCATTAACTAATCCCAAATTAAATGAAATCTAAACCCAGATGGATATGGACATGAACTTGTTGATGTTCATCAGAATATTTTGCTTTTAGGTTTAGGTTATTCAATGGTAATGGTGTCATTGTTGATTGGGCTCTACTATAACGTCATCATCGCCTGGTGCATCTACTTCTTCTTTGCTTCCATGCGCTACCCATTACCCTGGACTTCATGTGATAGGGCCAATTGGGCTACAGAACGATGTCTTGACAGTTCAGAACCAACAGGAAACGGTAAGTTATCTGGTAATATTATCTGGCATATGGGCGGACACAATTTAGTTTTAACCAATCACTACGTTATCATAAATACTAAGAATATTATTTAATCTTACTCATTTTGCTAAACCTTCCAAAGATATATTGTCTTTAGGAAGTTTTCCCTCAACATAGGCACAAAAACACTTAAATGTTCACAACTGCATAAGATCTTTTGTTTTGATTTAATAGTTTCTTTAGTTTGTAGGAGCTTGTCACTTTTGATATTTTTTAATGTTGTTTGTAGTTTCAAATATCACAACCACCATGTCAACGTTGACTACAGCTGCTCCAATTGACCCAACGTTCAACAGGACAACCCCAACGGAGGAATACTTCTAGTAAGTGCAAAAGACACATGCGTATTCGTCTATTATATCCAACTGTTTGCACTTCATTCATATGCAGTCTAATGAGATGTATTTAGATTAAAAATATATGAAAATCCAAATAAAACGGAAAACAATTAAATTATTTAACAATTGTTTATACCAGCTAGCTTTACATATTTGGTATAATCTTACTTGGGGAATATAATTAATACATAATGATATAATGTATACAAGCCAATTTGCAATAATGTGTAAACCTGGACTTGTTTTTCAATGTGTACACGTATGTAATGTTGTATATGTATAATATGTGTAATAATTTTATATAAATGTGTCTAATGTATATTATTTTCTTAGCATCAACGTACTTGGCCTTACCAGTGGACTTGACAATATGGGTGGTGTTCGTTGGCAACTGGCACTTTGCCTGTTGGCTGCCTGGCTAATAGTTTTCCTCGTCCTCATCAAAGGAATTTCTTCTCTTGGAAAGGTAAATACAGAAATGTCTTATAATTTCCAAAGAGGTCTGAAACGAACCGCACACTATTTTGCAGGAATATATTATATTATAAAGTCGCAATGCCACTTAAAAATGATCGATGCAATGCTCATATATAACTACATTTCCAAGGGACAATGTCGACTTTTGCTTTATTATTCACTCCTCTTATTCAAGGTTGTGTACTTCACCTCTATCTTTCCCTACGTGTTGCTGACAGCCCTTCTCATAAGAGGCTGCCTATTACCGGGGGCGGGAGAAGGAATTCGCTTCTACCTACAGCCGAATATTACCAGACTAGCTGATGCCGAGGTACGTGCATTGTAAATACACAATGGGTCAAAAATGATGTTGTACAAGGTAGTCGTATACATGTTCTTACATATTTTTGCACATTTCCTCCATTTCACATGCATACCTGCTCATTCATTCCGTATCTTAGTATCAGGCTTGATGAGCCATGGTTAACAATGTTGAATTTGTCGCAAACAGTTCAATAGTGTCACGTTATAATTTTGATTTATGCGGGTTTACCTTTAATGGTTTGTAGAAACATGATCAATTAAAATCGACTCCAAACGACAATTACATTATATACACCTTAACTCTATACACCAGCACTCCTTTTCATTCAGGTTTGGAGCGACGCTGCCGTCCAGATCTTCTATTCCCTAAGTGCATGCTCTGGAGGTCTCATTGCTATGGCAAGTTACAACAAATTCAGCAACAACTGTCTAAGGTAATCAGCGCATGAAGATATTCATTTCAATAACTTAGAGTTCAGTTCCTAAAAGCCCGTTGATGTCTTGATACGACCAGATGGCAATCTCAGCTACATCGATAGCCTAAATACCAAGTAAATTATGAAAAGGGATTTGATTTTGAGCAAACTTATTTTTGTGGGCTGTCATATTGCAAGATAACTGACGGGAATGATGGCCTCGCATCATACAAGAATAGCTGAAGAAACTTTGATTTTCATTTTGCCTGTGAATAATGCCTTAATGCGCAATATGTACCTGGCCGACAGTAAACATAAAACACGTCTGCATTGGGAAATAGGTTCTTGAAAGTTCAAAGGACCATAACATCGTTTACCTTTATTACCAAGGCAAAAGGGTGGGCAATGTTATATTCAAATAGTCGTAATAATAATTTCATGACAGAACAGAAAATCGCTTTTAGGAACTGTCGAACTAAAAGAATTAAGATTGCTAACATGGACTAATTTAAAAAGTATTTTGCTTTCTGTTTAAAGTTGTGGTGTATCGTCATAACCTTCACTGACACTAATAAAATAATGGTTCTTACATTGAAGAGTTTCTGCATGTTTTGCTTTTTTATCGTTTTAGGGTTTGGAGGCTATCTTGCTTTTTTGTGTTATTTGCATGTTGCTTTTAGGTGTTAAGTAGACGCTTTTTTATTTCAGAGATTCCATCCTTGTACCGTGCATCAATTGTTTCACGAGTATTTATTCTGGGTTTGTCATATTTGCCGTCTTAGGCTTTATGGCAGATAAAAAAGGGGTTAGTGTTGGAGAGGTTGCTGAATCCGGTAAGAACCATTCACAAACGCCAAATATAGTTTGTATGCTGATTGATGAATTACAATAATTTCTTTACACCTATATGTTTGCCTTTCTACTGATTTCGGGATCCCATTTAAACCGCTCCAAATCTTTGTAGTTAAGATTACATTTATATTTGCATGCACATCCATATCTAATACGACATTCCATTGACCCAATCTTGTACCCTTAATGGCCGTGGTTCGATGTATACGACCTACCATGCAGGTGACTAAAATGGGGTTCGACTGCTGATTTGTGAATCGCAATAAATTATGTTTGCATGTTTCATATATTAGGAATCCTACTAAGACCCCTTATCAAGCATTAACAAAGATAAAGATAACCAATATACCTTTTGCATGCACAACCTTATTGACTAACATTGCACATTCCAGAGACTCCATTCTTGTACCTTTGATTAACTGTGGGACAAGTATATATTCCGGTTTCGTCATATTTGCCGTCTTGGGCTTTATGGCAGAAAGAAAGGGGGTTAGTGTGGGAGAGGTTGCAGAGTCTGGTAAGAAAGATGGACATGCCAACATTGTGCAATGTTTGAATTGCGTAATTAGAGACATTGACATACAATCAGAAATTAATCTAAACAATAACTGATTATGTTACGATAATAGTTAAGATGAATGTGCATGATCTATGTTTCTACAGGGTGTCAAATAAATATCTCCCTCATTCATTTCAAAAGTATGAACTTTTGTACAAGTTTACATATTTTTTCTTTTAGCGTATTCAGCTGTTGGAGAATAGCAAGTTGCATGTCCATATCTCGCTTAAAACTTCAGTTGTTTATCAATTATTTAACTTTGATAGTCAATGGGCCCATCATCTGCCACATTTAGGCCGACAGTTCATGCGAGTTTAATGTTTTCAGAATATTTCCAATATTTCTTTTGCATTAGTAAAGCATCAAAATGTCTTCTCAATACATCTCGAGAGGCTTTTTGGAATAATTAGTTCCACCAGATTCTCTTTCCAGTAGGACATCCACCCGATCTTTTAGGAACGTCCCTATATATGCTTTGGTCCACTGAGGTTGGGGTTATTTGAGGGGTATTTGTCATTCCCAAAAAGTCAACGTTTGATGATTTTAACAACTGTTGTGTCAAGAGATGTCTTTCATGCTTACAATATTTATGCCCAAACTGCCAAGACATTGTTCTTTCTTCTTCTGATTCTAATTACGGATACATGTACTACTTTTGAAAATATTAATATCCTTCAACTGCAATTTAATTAAATACTCTGTGATTTTGATGTTAAAATACACGGCGCCCAAGGATATGACTGTAATCTAGTCCGCTAATATCCCCATTCCATCAATTTTGGACAAAAAATGCCATCCTCCCTTTTCATTTGTGATCCATTTTAAATGGTAAATATTGTTCCAGCATGCGTAGCTTCCCATTTCATCCTGCCAATATATCTATTTGAATCATCATGAATAATGAGTGGCATAACAAGTGACTATATATTGAACTCTAAATTTGGAACTATTGACTTTTTATTAGATTGAAACTGTTATCAAAAGCAGCAAAATGTACCAATATTCATAAAATACTGCAAACCTTTACTTTTTGCTTCAAGTGTAACTTTTTTATTCTGTTTAGTTCATTATTCCTTTGTAGGTGCTCTAACACCTTAATGGGGATTAATTAGGTATATAACATGTATGATATCATGTGTTTATGTTAAGGATAAAGGGGGGGGGGCATATTTATCTGACACCCTGTATATTTCTTTATCATATCCCTTTTAGTTATTCTATGGTGTATAGCTGACTGCGATCTGTGTGACAAATCATAATGGAATCGTCTCGACAAACTTATCTATCTTCTCTCTTTCCTTAAAACATGTTGATGAAACGATAATTAAATTCTTCACTGTTTATTAAGTCTTTTTATAACATACCTATGATGATGTATAGTGCAAAGTGTACACAAGACAGCGGGCCAATATAAGTTTTGAAAAGCCCGCGCCCGCTAACTTTCTGATTGGTCAAGGCGCTGACGTCATAACCAATCAATCGAAGATAAAACTGCGCGAGCAATTTTTTTAAACTCACTTCAATCATTTTCAAACCATTTGTTTGTCAATTCTATAAGAAAACGGTACTCTCTGACCAGTCTACATCATCATAGGTATGTTATAAATCGTTTATGTCACTATCGTGGCACATATGCCCTCGGTTCTCAGAGATCAATGTCCCTCCCAAGGTCGGTCCATATATCACTGAGACCTCGGGCATATATGCCACGATAGTGACATAACCTCTAACTACTATATTTCAGGTACTCCACCTTAGTACCCTTTGCAATAATGCCATCTTAATTAGATGATCTATCTTTCTTGCATGTAGGACCTCATTAAACAACTTTGCCAATTTCAGGGACTCCCTTATTGTACCATTGATAAATTGTGGTACGAGCATATACTCTGGATTTGTCATATTTTCTGTATTGGGTTTTATGGCAGAGAGAAGGGGAGTGTCTGTAGACCGGGTAGCTACCAGTGGTATGTACTCATGTAGTGTGTGCCAACCTTGCTTATAATCATCCTTGAATTGTTTCCTTTATTAACCTCCCAAATGATATCCCTAAGGTACCTGGATAGACAGACATTCATAAAAAATATCATAACAAATTAAACTCTACAATGAATTTTAGGGACTCCATAATTGTTCCATTGATAAATTGTGGAACAAGTATCTATGCCGGGTTCGTCATATTTTCTGTGTTGGGTTTTATGGCCGATCGCACAGGAAGATCCGTTAAGGATGTAGCAGCGAGTGGTATGAAAGTATATTTGCGAGCACACATAGAGCTTTGCATATTACTTTTTGTGTTTTGAAATGTTGCACAATGTGCTTTCTGATTAGACATCAGCTTGTAATACGTGTGTACATATATGATAGGGGCATTGTTTTGTACATACACTTTGTACAGTTGCTTCTTTGTACGGCACGTGTTTAGCCACAAGGCAACCATAAATGATTGGTACCTAAAGTGCTATGAAAATTAATGTTTAGCGAAGTGTCAAAGACTGCTGAAAGAGCATCACTTTTAAATCATTTTTGGTGTACTCATAAAATCAATGTAATCACCACTTTTCGGGTGCTTTTTATAGGCCCAAAATCAATGCATGCTTTTAATGTTAGCAAAATATGTTTTCTGTCGTTGCCTTTTGGGATTTTTGAGACAGTTAAACATGCGTCAACATAACAAAAAGTTGTGCTTTCTGATTTGACATCAGCTTGTATTACGGGTGAACATACATGATAGGGGCATTGCTTTGTACATTCATTGTGTACAGTTTTGCTTATTTGTACGGCATATGTTTAGGCACAGGGCAACCGCAGAGGATTGATACCTTAAAATGCTATGAATATTAATGTTTAGCGAAGTCTCAAAGACTGCTGAAAGAGCACAATTTTTAAATCATTTTTAGTGTATTTGTTGATTTGAAGATTCGATGGACTTGGTTTTGAGACAGTTAAACGATCAACAGATCTATTGATTGCGATTTACCTTGACACTAGCCTCACAAGGCATAAGACTCTCTTAAGACATGTTGAGAAAGAACTAGGTGTCATTCTAATGTCGATGGTTATATACGTTCCTGGGCATTATTTAGCGTATGGAGAAAGTCAAAACTCCTCCTTTTTACCGTTTATAATTATGGGGACTTAACTATATGTAACTACTATATATGTCACATTCCGGTTCATGTATTCAATGAGAAACTATCATATTTTTCCCTCCCTCTACTCCCAAACTTCTACAATGCTATTCCATTTTTTACAATAGTCGTAAGCCAAATGGTTGCTTAAGCGTCTTTATATGCTTCATTGTGCTCCTTAGACAAGTTTCAAGCATATGACTCGTGTTGTTAAACTGTTGACTATAATTATATAGTGCATTAATCACATTACTATGACGAGGGATGTAGTTCTTATTTAATTAATACTTATTCATAAAATACATTTTATCACCTCATACTTGAATGCTTACTTTAATCAATGAAATCACATTTACTATTTAGCTCATCAAATTATGTGGCCATAAATTATTTATTTCATAAAATATTTACACATTATATGAAGTGTAGTTATAATAGTAAAATAGTATATATAATTGATCTGTTCTTCCTCTTGTTTTAACATTTGTATTTACAATTTCAGGACCAGGTTTAGTTTTTGTGGTTTACCCAGAGGGTTTAGCACAGATGCCCGGGACAACAGTTTGGGCAATCTTGTTTTTCTTTATGATGATGTGTCTTGGATTCAGTTCAGAGGTACGATGTGTTTAACTATATAAACTGCATATATGGGAGATCTTTATCATTGCTCACTTACGACATTTACCTGGAGGCCACAAAAATCAATGTACTCTACAATAATTCTAATACTAATAATACTATAAAAATCGTAAACCCTTTAGAATATTAAATATGATTATGCAATATACATAAAAGTATCAAGAAAAGTTTGTGTGATTATTCACTGTTCAGAATCATAATAACTGCAAAGATAAAAAGGAAAATCATATATTGTCTGATCTTTGTTCGTCTGTTATTCAAACAATATTAAAACAATACAATGTACTGCTTTTTTATGTCGCTGTTTGCATTATTCCAGTTTTCTATCATCGAATGCGTATTTAGTGCATTCAGTGATGAGTTTCCACAGTTGCTTAGACGAAACAAGTGGGCACCGATAATCTTCAGGGGTATATGTTGTGCTTGTTTTTTCCTCATCGGGTTGCCCATGGTAACTGGGGTACGTATTCATTTTTTCAATTTTCAATTTTTCAATTTTGATAATGATGCTAATGAACAGTACCTTTAATTGTAAACCAAAATGTGTTTCCAAATGTGTAAGTTTCGAATAGTTCTAGTATATAAAGATTTTGAAATTAGTATCGAACATTTATTTAACAGGGAGGATTCTACCTGTTCAACATCGTGGATTCCTATACAGGCGGTTTTCCATTGTTGTTCGTCGGATTGTTCGAACTGATAGCACTTGTATGGATATATGGTGAGCCTACATATCGTGTATGAGGGTCGGGATATTGGTATTAGGCAAATACAATGCATATCTTATTTATATACGATGACATACTAGCTAATCTATTCACTTATATATATGAATTAAAGTAGTGGGGTCGAGGATGTAAGAGTTCATTAGTTTTTTATGTTTTTAGGTTATCACAAATTTAAAGACGACATTGAAATAATGTTGGGAAAGAGGCAGTTGATATACTTTCATATTACATGGCGTTATATCGCTCCACTTCTCCTATTGGTAAGTATTATAGTATTTTTTTATAATATTACTGTATATTAAACAAGAATTTATAACTCTAATTTTATTTTGCATTTATTACATTTGTATATATATGTATTGAGGTAACAAGATAGTTCATAGCATTTCTTGAAATTGATAGCAAGCAAAGTGTATATTAATGATTTACCTTTTCTGAAAGATAAAACACTTTGTGTAATTATGTATATTCAAATAATGTTGTTTCTTAATGATGTCATCGAAATGGATGGACCCACAATACTCGAGAACTTAAAATCGTGCATCAGTCAATGCGAGATGAAATATTGTATATGCTTTTTTTGATTCAGGCAGTCATAGTGTTCAGAAGTATACAATACAAGACCCAAACCCTGGATACCATATACGGCCTTTATCGTTACCCACCAGGCGGAACTGCACTTGGATGGCTGATTGTGACGTTTGCGATAATTTGGATACCTTTATTCTTCATCGGGACATTCTGCGTCAAAGGTGGTGGAATGGTAAGTTTGAAAAACAATGACTCAATATGGTTTACCAATAATATATTTATTTGGTTTATACAAACGCAGTATTAATTGTAAGATATAACGTGTAAATATTCATTCCATGACACAATATGGGAATATTTATTATATGGGACTGATTTTCCAATCATTGCTCCAAGAGCAAACTACATTTTGAAAATGGATTGGACATATTTATTTTGTTCAGTAGATGTACACCGTTGTAAAACATTTCTATCGTTGATGACATGCGTTTCCCTAGTCTAACCTTATTGTTTTAGTTCTGCTGGAAAAGCATGCAGGCTACTAAAAACTGGCGACCACGTGATCGATCAGATAGGGAAGGAACAAAATATGATGACAGCTTACATCAGGACGTGTCAACAATCAGTTCGGGACATATCAATTCAAATGGAACGGTACCACCTACGTATGAAGAGGTGGAATCAGCCACGGACTATTATTCTGAGAAGCCAAACACATATGCTACTTTGCAACAAGAATGAATTACTTGTCTTACATGTACATAATAGCAATTCGTGTATATTTTGGAATCCTGTATTTTATTGTAATCCTATAATTGTGTTATAGAGACGTGTTGAATTGTACAGCTGTAACTGATTGAATAAAACAATGATGGACTCCCGCTGTATATATATTATTAATTATTTATGGTTACCATTCTTATTATTTGGGAGAATTCAAACATTTTTCACCCATGTTTGCACTTTAAATCCATAATAACCCCTGTCACCAATTTATAACATATCGTGAATTTTTTGGGAGATATTGTATTATTTGTGATTGCAAGAAACAGATTGGTAGGTCAAGTGTACATGTTGCTTATAATTTTGTCAGCCCTATAGATCTGATTCTGCCTTCAATATACTTGGTTGTCACATATTTGCTATTTTGGACAAATGTTTCAAGATCAAATAGTTTTTATGAACATTATAAAAGTGCATTCTACTACTTCTGTATTAAAATCAAAAAGTACTTCACTGTCAGTGTTTGTTGTTTCGTTTCTTACTGGATTATTAGAGCCCTTGGATGCATAATACTCGGGACTGGTTCGCTTTTCAGTAACCTATTGTTACTATTAATAAACGGATAAAATATTTGGATACAAATCGACCTCCTTCTTGGTGAAAATGATGAAAATAAGAATTTCCATGAGAGGACCAGTGATGTTTACATTGGAGTGAAATACATCTAAAATACACTCCCCTCCATAAGTTTGGCAACCTTTTTCCCCCATTGAACTACGTGTTAACGCCTCTTTACCCTTTAATTTTTATTTACTTAACCTGCGATGAAAATACTTATACAATAGGATAGTTTCTAAATAGCAGAAAAATCAATGAAATCTCGTGCTGCCATCTTTTATTCAGCTTTTAACTCTGGCTAGAGCTCCATTCACTTACATGCTAAAATCTTGGAAAAGTGGCTTAATTTCATGATTTATCAAAGTGTGTTTGTTGAATCTGTATAAAACTTGAATGATATACCACATGATGACCCTGTTTATGAACATGTTGTGATTAAACATGCTAATGTTGATTGACATACAAATAATCCACGATTTTAAAGAATTTTAGCATTGCATCTATGGACATTTGGCCCAACTTTTTTTAAATTGTCATAGAAAATTATTCAAATTACATAACTGTGTAAATCAAAGCTATTTTAGGAGAAAACATTCCACTGAATTCAAATATACCATTTAAAAGAAGGTAATGTAAGTCATTAGAGGTCTAATATGTAAGTCTCTTAAAATCTCACGAAAAACGAGATTTAGCGAGATTTCAAAAGCTATATGGAAACTATACTATTGATGGAAACGTAATTTGACTTTAATTCCAATACCTCCAAATTTTCACAATTTTTTTCCTCAATTACAATAGGTCAAAAATTGATGATAAATTTGATGCATTTTTGAAAATCGACATTCCCATGTTAACCAATGGGAAATGGTAGGTTTGCCGCAAGTCATATGACAGAATATCCATCTATCCGAGTCCTTGCAAAAAATACGAGTTAGGCAGGCAATTGAATTTGCTAACTTTATTTAACAAAAAAATTGATATGTTTCTTCAGGTTCAATAAAGTTATAGGGCTTTAAAGTCAAAATTGTTTTTCAAAAAACCTCTCCCATTGAAATAACACAAGAGGCGAAAAATTATTTTCAAAAATGACTTTGAAGCGCTGTAACTTTAATATTCATCAAATAAGCTAAACACTTAATGTTCAAAAAAGTTAGACAATTCAATTTCTATATAATTTTTTTTTCTTTGCTGAATCTTTTACTGAAAAGATATCCTGATTTTTGATTTGCCCGAAACCCTCCATTTCCCATTGGATTACATAGGAATGACGATTTTCAAAAATTCAACAAATCTATCAACAATTTTCGACCTATTGTAATTGAGGAAAAAAAATTAGAAAATTTGGAGGTATTGGAAATAAAGTCAAGTTACGTTTCCATCAATATTATAAGTTATTTCATCGCCGGTTAAGTAAATAGAAATTCAAACGTAAAGAGGCCTTTACACGTAGTTCAATGGTGGAAAAAGGTTGCCAAACTTATGGAGGGGAGTGTATATTCTGATCTTTCAGTTGGCATGGGAATATAGACTAGAATCATATGATGATAAAAGCCTTTAGAAAGCGAAACTACTTATATTTCAACGAGCAGGCAAGAGACCTATATCAAAATACTCCCTTATATATAACAAAAGATGTATGAAATTTAACACGGTGAACGAGGTGTCAAAAGGCACCAATAAGACAATTAATTAAAATACTATTCTTCTTCCCTTAACTAGTTCAAACATTACGATCAGTGTTAATCCCCACATAAATAGTTGTGGTCAACTTGTCATTGTGCCAGGTTGGAGCTCTGCCAGCAAATCTAGTGTTACGATAATTGTACTTTTTCTGGTTTGATTAACTTTATTGAACTAGTACTGTCTAGAACCAATGATCACCACTCACAATCATCTCCCTGTCAAATTAGACTTGTTAGTCAATGGTTCAGACAGCGGGTTTCTATCACACAGAAAACAGTATGCAATTTCTGTACTAAATCCAGAAGAACCTTGAAGATTGTTGCATAACATCCAAACAGGATCACTACAGATAACTGATAAATCATATGATATAGTTTCAACAATGTGGAAGGTACACCTCCACAATAGTTAAAATGGAACAATACATTTCTGATATACTAAGTATAGTTCACAACAAACAGTATAATATAATTCTCGATAGTACCAACAAAACCCATCATTGGGATTGGTATCACCTAATGTCAATGAAATGCAAAGATCATCGAGACTATTTTTTCAAAATTCAAATGTGATATAACATCAGTATCTATTTGGCATCCAGCATTCTCTCACAAGTGAATTATCTTCTGCTGCTAAAGAGGAACATGTTATTTGTTGTCAGATGTGATTGAAATACTGAAAAATATGTTTCCATATAACATTGTATGTATCAATGTCAATTATATAGTGTTATTTAGTAAACTGATTATTGTATTTGCAAAGGTTTTGAATATATAAGCACTAGTGCTAAAGGGAAAGGACTTATTCTAGTCTACATTCATTTCACTATATGCCAACCACAACAGGAATCTCCGAAACCTCCCCCAAATCACCAAAATCGATCAAAACTGATTTTTTCACTATTCCAAAGTCAACCAGACTGTATTTACTGAAATAAAATTTCTAAAAAAAGTATTTAATTAAAAAAAGAAATCTGCAAAAAACACATTTTTTATCCGAAAACACATTTTGACTCCTATTTCGTCTTGTTAAATCTCAGTATCAATTAGGAACTCTTTTCCTCTCAATCAATTTCCCAAAAATAATTCTGTAAAAAACACATTGTTTACCCCAAAACACATTTTGACACCATTTTCTTCTTGTTAAATCTCGGTATCAATTAAGAAACCATTTAGCTTTCAATGTGTTAACATGACCTGCCTGCTTGTCAAAAAGAGGTCATTATATTTGCAATGCACTGATTCTAGTTTACATTCATTTCACTTTATGCCAACCATAAGAGAAATCTCTAAAACCTCCCCAAAATCACTAAAATCGATCAAAATTGATTCATTTTCACTTTTCAATAGTCAACCAGACTGTATCTACTAAAATAAAATTTCTGAAAAAACACATTTTTTACCCGAAAACACATTTTGACACCTATTTCGTCTTGTTAAATCTCAGTATCAATTAAGGAACCATTTTCCTTTCAATTAGTAAACATGACTTATCTGCTCTTCAAAATATAAGATGTCATTATATTTTCAGCCCCCTGATTCTAGCCTAATAGGGTGCTTTGCATTTCATGAAAAGTAAATTCTCATTCTATGGCAACATTGGGACATTCTTTATCTAACTTACTGTTATTTGCCAAGCTTACCTTGGGAAAATAGAACATGTGACGGTAATCTTAGCCTAGAAAGACAATGACCTCCTCTTTTTTACAGCTGAATATTATTTAAAATAAAATACTGTTCATTCTTTTATGTTGCTATCTAAGTGGGGTTTCAAAACAGAATAAATGTTCGTCCTTGCACTGATACAAGGTAACTACGAATATCGAACATGTAGGACTCCCACTAACACAAAGTACATCAAACAAGGAATTTATCGATACACGAATCTCAAAAGGCAGAAGGGCGATGATAGCGTAACATATAAACATAAACATATCGGAACAACCACAAGCAATAACAATCCCACAAATCCCCTGACAGCATCCAAACTCTACTGGTCAATCTGTGTACCAACCATGACGTATGGATTGAACCTTCTCCCTTTGAAAGACACTGACTATGATAGAATGGAGACTGCACATCGGAATATTGCGAAAAAATTACAAGGCTTACCACAAAGTACGAGGAACCCAGCCTGTATACAACAGCTAGGATGGTCTGACTTAACGTCTAAAATTGTCGTTGACAAAATGATGCTTATCTGGCAACTTTTAACACTGCCCATAAATAACATATACAAAGTCATCGCTATAACACGAATAATATGCCACAGGTCTCGTGCACTATCTAGCATATCGCCGATAGGAAATTGTTTGAAAGTCGCCGAGAATCTTGGAATCCAAAACCAAATATATGATATCATAGATACTGGAATCATACCATCCAAAACAGTATGGAAAAGGAACATTAGATCAATAATGTACGACAAAGCACTCTGGAGTTGGAGACTAAAATGTATGATGTACACAAACATTCATTTATACAAGAGTGTTGTGGAATTTCAAAAGCCCAACCTATGGTGGGAAATCGCATCTCATAATAGTCAACTAGTCAAGATATGCAAAACAATGATACTACTCCTCACGGGAGAGGGAAATTTGAATGCAAACACATCTAATTGGGGAACGTCATATGACAAGCACAGTAGAAGTTTATGCAACGCATGTAAGTCTGAGACTGAAACACTTGAACATCTAATTCTTAATTGTGACGCACATTAACAAATGAGAGATATAATCCAAAAAGAGTTAAACGCAAATAGTATCCCCGAAAACTGCTCAAATGAGATCAAATTAGCAATCATTTTTGGGAAAGATAAACTATTAAAGATAGATAGCTATGTAACGATATCAAAGACGATTTATGCAATGTACACTAGTAACGATAGGATGATACTCTGAAAATAAACCTAATGATTGTAAATACTGGTAGAATGAACATAACTTTTGTCATATGGCACTATTAGAACTAAATCAGGCGTAATGTTGGGGCAACGGTAGCACCTCAATAAGCTGACTGATATGATCTGATCGCACTATTTTATTCAAACACCTTTGTATATAGTGTATAATATGTTTTATTTTTGTTATTTATTATCATTGTAATATATTAAAAGTATGTACTCTCCAATATTAGGAGGCAATAAAGATACATAACATAATAAGGACACTACTCTCTGATAACCAGATATTCGCTTTGGGACAATGTGCTGTATACTCTATTTGAATTTAACAAATTCGTAAATTGTTATCAATCTGACCTTTTACAACATGATTAATGAGAAATTAAACATAAACAGACTTTAACAGACTTTCGATTTGTGAGTCAATTTTTGCAAACCTTTGATTACGAGAGAACGTCGTGTACTCACACATAGAGGCAAGCTGTGTCCAATTTTGCAATTTGAGAAAATAATTTAAGCCTAAGATTCAATGCATTTTGGCTGATTAATTCCATTCAGACGTTGTTTTCTAAACGTTAATAATTTATTACAGAAAAATTTAATCATTTTATTTTATATCGCCAAATATAAACAGGCTTTTACATGTGATCCAGAAGGAGGGGCTTCGAGTTCCCAAACTAATTGAAGAAACTGATCCTAATCTATTCAGTGTGTTACACTACTTCAAGTAGTGTGTACATGAGTGTACTTTAGATAGTACAGCAACTTCTCACGTTTAAATAAAAACTTGGTCACGGTTTGGTGTACAATCTAAATTCGTTTCATCGAATACATATTGGTTTGGTATTCAGGTTTCTATTCTATTAGGTTAAAAGGCAGAGATTTGGGTTAACACTGCCGATGCGCAATTAATCCCAACACAGGATGACGTCTATACCGATCCTCGTTTTCAAGGGAAGTCACTATGAACTTGGGTACAAGATTGTAAGTACTAAGTAGTAAATATTCGTATTCTGTATTATAATGTACATATAATATTTTCATTAAAACACCAGGGGATGCGGGCAATTATTGAACTGAAATGCCTTAACTATTTTCAAGAGCTGACAATTTTAGCACGAGCTTTACACCAGTTACATGGCTCAATAAATACCAGGGTATTTTAGGATTCTTTTTATGTAGTTATATCCCCGATAGTATGTACAGTACATATTAAGTAGTGTGTATAGTATCTTCCTTCAACCGCTGGAAAGTTGAAACTGGACTCAGGGAAATCGGAATACACTAAGAGTCTAATGTTTGTAAACATTCATTCTGATACTCATAGCATCTTTCTGTTTCACCTGAAACATCTCAGTTTTCAAAATTTCAAGTTTTACCACTTGAGATGCTGAAGGATGTAGGAATGGTATAATACCAGCATTAATGGTTGAGAAATAGGGATCGAAACCAGCCATAGTTTTCTCCTGATGACCATTGTGAATTGTTGTGTTTTATGGATTATGATGACGGCTTTGCGAACGGATGTTGACCATTTGAATTGCCTATGGACTTCGAGTACTATATATAGTATCTACAACCATTTTTGATGTTATGAGTGTTGGCTATCAATTTTTCATTTTTTCTTCAACTGTATTGTAATGACCTCAGTATGAATGAAATGTCCCCAGGTGTTCTGGTCCTGGATTGTGATATTGGTTCTCGATTGGAGGGGGGAGTGGGATGTTAGACATTGTTTCTTTTCACGTTAGATCATGGTTTTGGGATATAGAGAGTCTACTTTTCTTATGACAGATTTACACTTACAGTTTGCTTTTCTTGTTGGGTTTCTTTAAAGTTTTTAGTCACCCTTCCCTTTGGCATTTGTGCTTATATATTCAGGGCTGGGAGGGTATGAGATGGCATCGTTTATCATGATGGTAAACATACTAAAATACGCGTTAAAACACCAGTAATTAATTATTATCGAATTTTTTTCACCCTTAGTCTCATCCTCAATAGATTAACTAAAATTAACAAATTCAAGAGTCGGAAAGCTGTATCTAAAAGAATCAGCTTTACAACTTTACAAATTTGCACATGATTTTCCAATTGGTAGTTAAAACATTATGGGAGTTCTTAACTCGATTACTAACTGGATAATTTGACATTTTAAATGGTATACTACACTGGCGAATACAGGGATGGGGCAAACAAGTTGACAAGTTCGTAAAGAGTCGCTAATAAGCAAAATATTGATTTCAATAATTCAACAAGTGCATGGAAGGTACCACGCCTGCCAAAACCATTTTCTAAAAAGTCAATGCAGTGGGATTTGACTGATGATCTCAATTTGTATAGTGAAATCATGTACTTTGTTGCTAGACATTCGAACATACATTTGTCATATTTTCTAGGGAACCACATTTAAGAATGAAATTCGAAAAACTCTGCTAGAGTTGCATAAAGACAACCTTCAAAAATGTTTAGACTTTTATGAAACAAAAGCCGGGAACGTGTTTTGCGAAGGGTTCCTTAAGGCCGGATATGAAAGATTTCCACATATTATGGAAGAGCTTAAGGGCATGGCAAAGGCCACTGAAATTCCTTTACAGATGGTAAGTGTTAAATAACCTTTTATACAAGCTCTCGATGTGATGTTAAAAATCTTGTTGTTGAATATTTTTCTTGGTAGATAAAAGTGGAGTACTTTGCTTGAAGATCTTTAGTTTGGTTTTAAATCAGTAATTGATTTTGTTTTAATGGTATGACGTGTCGCAAAAAGGTGGCGCATTTGTTTTTTAAGGGTATCGCGTGAATGTAACTTTGATTCCCCGGATTATAAGATAATATTCTAATTAAAGTTATATATCATTTTAAAGCTGTTTCGATGAAGATTTTAGATCAACTACACTCCGTTCACATTTTTTGCGCGTTCGTTTTTAAAAAAGAGTTTTTTACCAAAACATCTGGCAAATATCCCATGTTGACACGTTACATTTTGAATTATTTTTCGTCTTTAAACGCTCATAACTCAAACAATATATGACTATTATACTTATTTTTCGTCTTGATAAAGGTAGATGGAAGATATTGTGACGTCATAGAGTCTGAAAAATAGAATCTGTTGACAGCGACCTTTTTCGCTCATTTTTTGGTACCTTCAACTTTTCAGGTGTACATTAAACAAAAAATACGAGATCAATTTTTAATAAATCATACATGATTATTTTGCTCCTAAACTCTAGTTTATTAATAAATAGTTGATTTTGTTCACAAAAGTATGTGTTTTCTGTTGTATGTGGAAAAGTGGAGGACGAAAGGTTTTCAAAAGTCATTAAAATTGGGCTAATTTACGCCATTCGCCTATTTTCAAGCACAGCAACACGTATATTTATTTCACCTAAAATATCAATTGATTCGTGTTTTGTGATGCTCCTAGCCCATTAACAATATATATATGATATCAGAGTTATTCGTCTAAAATGTTTTGAGATATAGAGGTAAATGTGGAGGACGAAAGGATTTTCATGTGTGTACATTTTTCTCAAAAACGTCACATTCTATCATGTTAAAAGCGAGGATCCTCTGGATTACGCCACAAAATGTGTAACAATGCGTGCGCGAGCTTTTTGCGACACGTCTATAACATTAAAGCTGGTTTATATCGACAAGTGCGTTCCATCTTTAATTATTGTATTCTATTTTGTATTCAAAACAATAAACTATGTCTACCAACATTCGTCTTCTTTGATATAAACTTAAGTTTGGGCTTTCGGTCGCAACCCAAGCTACATACATCGATTGAGTCTACTACGCATACAGTCACAACTATTGCACAATAATATAATATATGTGTTGTGATATTTTCAAGAATCGTAGTATAAAGAAAGTGAGAACAACTTCTTTAGAGAGAAAATGACATACGTTTTTGAATAATTATTTTATTAGATGCTGATAAACAATTTGGAAAGAGAAATTCTTGCTAAAATAACACCTATGGATGAATCACCGGGGTGCACAGATGTATTTGTCAATAATGGGACGACGGTGAGGTACTTTTTCAAACATTACTGTGGTAGAAATCTTCAAACTGTTTAAGCTACGTTCACATCAACGGCGCTTTGATGGCGCTTTAAAGCGGCTTGTAAAGCGGCACCAAAACGGAACAAAGCTTAATTAAAGCGTAGATGTCGTAATAGGTCGTAGTTCCACGAGAGAGCGTGAGGAAGCTTGTCAAGCGTAAAGCTTAACAAAGCGTTTCACACCTTGATTAAAGCGTCTCAATTCGTTAAAAAGCTTGAGAGTCCTTCATGGAAGCGTAACAAAGAGCGTCAGATATTGATGAAAGCGTCTGACCTCGTGTCAGATCTTCATGCCAGATCGTAGCAAATACGCGAGTGGGAGCAGGGTCAAATATGGAACTTTAATTAAGATTGACTGCAACCGCTCGAAACATGTTGTACTTTCATAATATTGATATGTAGATTCCAGATATGACAATGAAAAGTTTTGAAAAATGGCCGGTTGCTATGGAAACGGACGCAAAGTGCCACGCCCACTTTTCATTAGCCATAAAGTAGGATAAACACAATATTGGCCATAACCTTTTAAATTTTTAACTATGTTTAATGATATTGGTACCATATTGAAGGTAATAAATTATCCTGTCACCATATGTATTATTTAGTCGTTTCAATTGTTCACCCGGCAATTATGACGTCATAATATCCTTAAATTCCCATTTTAAGGTATATTTAACGAATTGCTCCACATCAATATCAATTAAATACCCTAGTGAATATTCTTATTAAATAAAATGAGATTATTTTTGTTCACGTTAATATGCTCTTTCCAGTGATATCTTAGATGTTGCATAAAACTAATACACTTTTGTTCTAGAGCCTCCTAAACTTATGGCTGCACTATGGTAAAATGATGAATCCATATTTAATCACTTCTTACTACAATTTACTGATTCTCTGTCTATCTGTGAGTGTATGTGTGTGTGTATTTTCTACCGAATCATTTAGACGTTTAAAAAAACGTGGCACGTATGTCCAGTACAGTACCCCCATCGAATATAAAGTGGTTAAGAACTTGTGATGTCATCATGTTACCTAGCAACCACTAGGAAATGGATTAAAACGCCCTATTATGGCCATTTTGCCCTAGTTTCATCATTGTATATGCTCTCAAACATCTAGATATGGAGAAAGAATCACTCCTCAGCAATGACCCTACAGTATATCACTGTCTTTGTAGACTGGTTATTGTGATGTCATCTGTGTTGCCTAGAAACCACATAGCAATGTCCTAAAGTTTGCCAAAAATGATATAGTTCAGCCAGTATTCTACCATTTACTCACAGGTTAAACAAAAACACTCATTTAAGATTTACATATAATAATCTAAGATATACCAATGTGTGTGTTCAAAACGGGCACTCTGCAACACAATAACGCAGATGCGAGTAGGTAGTTACCAGTTTCACCACCAAGTGGCTCGTTCGGGTCAGATAACATGGCGGGTATAGTAGAAAGTTCGCTTTGCTAAGCTTTGGTACGCTTGACAAGCTTTCTCACAGTTTTCACGCCGTGGGACAAACATCATGTCTTCTTCAGATATGTCATGATCTAGTCCATCTGGAAATTCTGGATCTTGTTGTTCTGCCATCGTCTTCTCGAGTCACAGATGCAATGGTTTTATGGATCTACTGCATCTTTATACAGCCATTTGATCAAAAGCGTATCAGAGCTTATCAGAGCGTAACATTACTTAGGAGATCGTGATATTTTGGGAAAAGTAAACATAAATGACAGCGCTTTGCTCGCCGATTTAAAGCGTGGCATTCGCCGTTGGTGTGAAAGTAGCTTTAAAAATGTTTGGCGCTCTTGCCGAATATCCCGCTTTACTCCGAGCTCATCTACGACCTATTACGACCCAGGGGTCCGTTTTTGAAACCGTCGTAACTTACGATTTGGTCGCAAGTCATTGTTTCTTAAGGTACGTTCACACCAACGGCGAATGCCACGCTTTAAATCGGCGAGCAAAGCGCCGTCATTTTTGTCATTTTTCTTCATACCAACGGCGCTTTGATGGCGCTTTAAAGCGGCTTGTAAAGCGGCACCAAAGCGTAACAAAGTTTGATTAAAACGTCGGGGTCGTAATAGGTCGTAGAAAAGCTCAGAACGGGATATTCGGCAAGAGCGCCAAAAAATTTTAAACTCTTAAAAAATTTTGGGCGCTCTGTTACGAATCGATTAAGCGCCGAGAGCGTATCAAAGCTTAACAAACCGGAACAAAGCTCAGAAAAACTTGATCCAAAGCGTAGGAAAGCTTAAAATAGCTCTAAAAGGTTCCTCACGCTTTGATCCCGCTTTGATCAGGCTTTGTTACGCTTGAAATCACGCTTTGAAAAGCTTTGATAAGCATTATTACGCTTTGATGCGATTATGACGCTTTAAATCAGGCTCTGATACGATTGCAAAACTCTGTTGTGCATTGTTACGCTCTGTTAAGCTCTGTCACGCATTGGAAAATGTCGAGATCGCCGATTCCATGCCGCTTTTGATCCAATGACTATAGAAAGATGCAGTAGATCCATAAAACCATTGCATCTTTGACTCGAGAACACGATGGCAGAACAACGAGATCCAGAAATTCCAGATGGACCAGAGCATGACCTATCTGAAAAAGACATGACGTTTGTCGCACGGCGTGATATAGCGTGTGAAAACTTTCAAGCGTAACAAAGCCTAGCAAAGCGTTTCAATCCTTTATTAAAGCGTCTCAATTCGTTGGAAAGCTTGAGAGTCCCTCAGGAAAGTGTAACAAAGAGTGTCAGATATTGATGAAAGCGTCTGACCTCGTGTCAGATCTTCATGCCAGATCGTAGCAAATCTTGAGACATCTTAACGAAGCGTGTCAAGTGGTAACAGACCGTGAATAGACTGGGGTCCCCGCTTTGAACCAAGCTGTGTTAAGCTTTCCTACGCTTTGAGTCAAGCTTTGTTGAGCTTTGTTACGGTTTGTTAAGCTTTGATACGCTCTCGGCGCTTCAATCAATTCGTAACAGAGCGCCCCACATTTTTAAACAGTTTAACATTTTTTGGCGCTCTTGCCGAATATCCCGCTTTACTCCGAACTTTTCTACGACCTATTACGATCCCGACGCTTTAATCAAGCTTTGTTACGCTTTGGTGCCGCTTTACAATCCGCTTTAAAGCGCCATCAAAGCGCCGTTGGTGCGAACGCTTAAACAGTTTAAATTTTTTAGCGCTCTTGCCGAATATCCCGCTTTACTCCCGAGCTTTTCTACGACCTATTACGACCCCGACGCTTTAATTAAGCTTTGTTACGCTTTGGTGCCGCTTTACAAGCCGCTTTAAAGCGCCATCAAAGCGCCGTTGGTGTGAACGTACCATTAAAACAGAGACACATGGATTTCTCGGAATCGTAAGTTACGATCGTATGAAAAACGAACCCCAGACGCTTTAATCAAGCTTTGTTACGCTTTGGTGCCGCTTTACACGCAACTTTAAAGCGCCATCAAAGCGCCGTTGGTCGGTCAAGTTAAGTAACTTAGTCAACATTCGATATTCGTATGTTCATCAATATTTACTAAGAATGGTGCCACAATTGAAGTAAACCTCTGGTTAATTATTTTCAATAAACCTATCAGCAAACGTGTAAATGATAATTTTGATGTTCTGGTACATATTGGTGAAGCAATCTTGGGGAAATGGCCTAAATTTCTGATTTTCCACTGTGTCCCTGTATACCCCTATTTCAAAAGATGTATGTTATTTGTCGTTTTTTATTATGAACCAACCATAAATGTATGTTTTCTTGTTTACATACAGAATGAACTTTCTGTTTTCAAATATTGAAAGATGGTACTGCATTTATTTGTTCATGATATGGAGGAAACAAATGCGTGTCAATTTACACTGTAATATCCTACATACTTATATTTCAAGGGTAGTTTTGAAGAATAATCAAGAAAATCCATGTTTTCAAATGGATTCATCCTTGTCAAAGAACGTAAATGAGGATATGCGGTTTGAAAAACTAACAACATGTTTCAAGTTCTTACAATTCTTGGTTAAAACAAATGTTTTGAAAGTTGTGATTTCGAATGTAATATCCTACTCAATGAAATTTGTTGATATTTGTGAATTTTTTCTTTCGGAATGCACATTGCTCGATCACAGAAACTTGCCTTATTCGCGATGCACGAAACGTGTATTGTTAATTCTTGACGTCGTTCGGATATTTGGATGTGATTGACGTTTTCGTTAATCTCCTACCACTGTCACTTCCAACTCAATTTTTGAAAGCCAAATATGATAGTCACGAATTGATATTTAAGTCACACGTTGATGCATACATCATGTGTGTACATTAACTGTCGAATACATGCCGACTTACATTTATATAAATATCCACAGTTAACTCAAATCATCAATTCTCGAAACGGTTTATCATATTACCTGGTGAGTTTAATGTAACATTTTAATTTACAATTATGGTATCGGATTTGAGTATGATATTAGCCGAGGCTTAAACAAAGCAATAAAACTGCGTGAAACCTTTTGTGAAAATTCGAACGATTTTTCAAGAATCCTCCTTCAAAGTGTTACCAAAGTGCTCCCCGGGAGTGGAAATTTCGTCTTGTGTAATCAAAATAATAGCGGGTGGTTTGAATTTTTGTTTGAGTTTAGAGCTCACATCTATAAATTTAAAAACATATCGCCTCATTGAGAGGTACATGCAAATTTTGGCGATCTATCATTATAAAAGGCTAAATATTGTGCAAAAACAGGAGTTGACACGCTTTCATTTGGAAATGAAATTTTCTACGCAATTGCCGACTCATGTTTAAAAGTCATGAAAACAAGGTTGAACACAAAACATTGACCCAGTTACTGTCTATTTAGCATGGGATCACTTAGGGAAATATTATTAATGACTTAAATCGTTAACGGTTAAGTTGTATTCCAAGAAACTTATCAATTTAGAAATGCAAAATGTTCAATTTTGTTTATCAATTATAAAAAATCGCACCTGTAGACAACAACGTTTACAAAATTATTTAAAACGGAGATATTTACTTATGTAACATTAATTGGCATGTGTCAGGGAGTAAATAAGAAGAATATGCATTTGATTCTATATCTTGTTCCCAAAGGAGTTTGTTAAGGAGCGGTATATCTTAACGTACTTTTATCATCCCGAACTCAAACATTTCGAATACTTATTTTGAGAACGCTTTGTTAAGAATGGATTCGAGATGTACTCAAAATTAATACGTTAAAATGTATATTATCATCTTAATAACTACCTCATAAATTATTTTGGAAATCAAAGATGTACGATTTTTGAGATTTTTATTTTCGAATGTTGACTTAGTTACTTGGCTTGACTGTGGTGTGAACGTAGCTTGAGAGGGGATTGTATATATCATTTTGGAGTAAATCGTCTGTTTATATTAAAAATTTAATATAATATGGCATTTCAGTACATCCTTCATTCAAAGGTTTTCATTTATTCCTCAATTTAACATTGTAGGAAAAAGTGAAATACCCTTGGTCCAGGGATGTTTCAGTAAAAAGTATGACCTTATTCTATTGAAGCAGTAATCGTGTTTCACAGCAAATCATTGACGTGAAGAAAATAAACAATTTTTAGCATTTATGAAAATACACTTTGGATGGAGATTCGATGCGATTTAGAAGTAAGCTTGCATTGTTCAGTGTACGTGTATGTCCCCGTATCGCATTTTATCTGATCATATTATTTTTGTCATTTTTTGTATTCTGTATTTCATTTCTTTTTATTTTCGATCCGCGTAAATGTCTTACGCTTATTATGTTCATTTTAAAGAAAAATAAAAGTATTTGATTATAACTACGTACATTATTATATTTTCTCTTCAAATACCACTTTCAATTGGAGTAATATCTTTAAAGAATACTCTGCATTACTTTTCCAGAGGGCATGGGGTCATAACGAAGATGGTTGGCCTGAAATGAAGCCCTATACCTTCTTTGTAATGGCAAACATTGACCCCTATATTTCTACCAACGGTTCCAGCTATCCAAGAGAAAAATTTGCTGCTCATTGTTACCCCGGTAAGATCAAACACCACTACCTTTAAGTTAGCATCTCTTAGCTCTTTTACGACATCTACTATAATTTCAACTTTTGTGGTATTCAGGTACCACATAAAAAATACAAGAGGTTTCGTTTAAAGCAAAGTATCTCTTAAATGTATTTTTGGCTGAGATCTTTTCATAACTGGCAATTTGGTTTTGAATTGTAGGGAATCTACCAGGTTGGGATTTCGGTTTTAATTACCATGGATTCGCATATTCCATGAACATTCTCATGCCCAAGGAGGTTGGAGTCAACACAGTTTGTAAGTTTTATAAAATTGCTTCGACTCTGAAGGTCCACCAGCGTTAGCCATAATTTTGGGTAACTTATAAATTATGTTCATGTTTGATAATTAAAAAAGTCATTGGAGTCTTTCCAAAATATAAACAAAGGAACGAAATAAAGATTCAAACATAAACAAGTTCTAACACGTTATCATAATCAAATAAAGACACACGGTTCCCAAACGTATGGATGGGAGTGTACCAGTAGCTTGTCACTATGTAATTACATTTCAATAGATTTCTATTCATTCAATTTGAGGTGAGGTCGTTTTGATGAGAGGGATGCTATCATGCTCGTCCGTCAGTGAAGCTAGAGAGAGGATTCTACAGGAAGGATACGGAATTTCATGTGGCCTTTCGTAAGTCATGAAGACGCGGTAATGAATCTATGGCGTTTCCCCTAGTGTTTTAAAAGACTAAGTGCGAGTAGAAATAATCTTGATTTACGTCATTAAATATACAAAATTCAGTCAAACTGATATCATATTTGAAATCTACGTGTAAAAGTACTTCTAGAAATATAGTTTCGAAAATTGTTTATCAAATTTGAAAATTAAATTTGTTTTGAAAACGTGACTTCTAGTTCGGGTTGATTCCCCATTCATCCCGTGTTACAAAATCACAAAAAGTGAAATATCTTTTCTTGTATTGGACAGATAGCATTTTCCTTTATTGGACATATTTTAATGTTCATAACCATTAGATACATAAGGGTTATATGAAAATTGAACCACTAAAACAGATGTAATTTAAGTTAATGGGAACTTTCTACTAAACCCGCCATGTTGTCTGACCCGAACGAGCCACCTGGTGGTGAAATTGGTAACTTCCTTCTCGCATCTATGTTATCGAGAAATATTTAATTTCTGTCGGATAGTGTACTCCAAATTGTTAAAAGGGATTCTGTTTTTTGGATAATTTTTTGACCTCTGCTAATGACAGGCATAATTCGGCCAGAAAGCCGGAAGTATATTAAACGGTAATAATAAAGATTATTAAGGAACAGTATGTAGGTATGTTAATATTAGGTCAAATATCGCTGCACTATAGTGTGCTACCAGCTCCTTTATTAGACATCCTAGAGATTCCATACCATGGACTATATACTTTTTGCAGTTATACTTCAGTTGTACAAGGAGGATTGGCTCCCAGAATCGAAGTCGATATTTTCCAAGAATGAAAATGCCGAAATGTCGTTATTTTCTGAAATTATAACCAATTATAAATTCAAAATAAACATTTCAAAAGATTCGAACCAATATCTCGATCATTTCTTGTGAGTTTTGGAATTTTTTGTTAGGAAATAAGACCAAAACATGGTCTCGTTTAGACCGTTCCGTATTAGTGATTTTGTTGACATTAATATGGAATAAATCATACCATTTCATGAAAAATGGTGACCTTGTCCTACGGAAATTGAGATTATGTTTCACTGCAAGTTCGCATGTCGATACTGTATAGCACATGCTCCGGGGAATCGATTCTACTTTCTATAGACATCAAACACATATCTGTCCACCCAACCTCCTTTGTTTACATTTACAAAAACATGAAAAAATGACAAAAGTTGTCATAACTTTATAAATTCCGTATTAATGCCATCACGACCACAAATACGGAACGGTCTAAGTGGGAGGGTGAAAATTCACGATTCAAATGGTGAAGTGAACAAAATGGCGGCTGTTGGAATTCAAATTTTGTAGCACGACATCCTCATATATGGGACAGAATATCGATGTTGCATTCTGGGAGCCAATCCTCATTGACAGTTATATATAAAATATTATTTTCCGTCCCCATTGTCACGGTGCTTTGTGCAATTAATACGATTTAAAAAAATCTATATATTGTAGGTTCCAATTCTCTATGGTAGGGGAAGATCATATTTACAATATTGAGTGTGCCCCTAATAAACCAAGGTCATTGATAAGTGAGATCGTCATTAAAGCCGGTGGAGAACACACACCGGATGGATTCTTCGTAAGATCTAATAAGTATAAATGTTTTCTAGAATCAATTATAGATGGCATTCCGGATTTTCTATTCTAGTTCATTGATTTGAGATACGCATTTAACATTGTATTATGGTTTGTGAAAAACGGGTGAGTTTAACTTTAACTTACACAACGAGAAACACTATATAATAAACTCCAATACGACGAGATAATATATTTGTTATCCAAATTGATTAATAACTAATAAGATCAGATACTGTTAAATAAAATTCTGTCCGGGATTTGTTATTGTCGTATACAAACGTGGTATCCGAACTGCTTACTTATAGTATCCGTTGCGACCATTAACAATATTGTAAATGTCTAATTAGCTAAGTAAATAAATATGTCGTCACAGTCGCTGTTGGCTATGGAGAGTTATTAATAATTATCGATCATAAATGTTATCATACTTTTCTTGATTTAAATATCCAAATATTTACTATGTTTAAAAATGAAAATGTTTGATTTTTAAGTAACTGTTCGACCTTTTTTCTTATTATCAAGAACGCGCATGCAAGTTCGGCAATCCTTGTACATTGTGTGCACAGTATGCGCATTTTAATCGTTGTATATTTTTCTATATACTATAATACTATTCATTTTTTGTACAATTGAACCGAACATACTTTAAAATCATCAGCTTTAAATAGATTATATGTTACGAAATTAGCCTTAAAATAATAAAATTCGTGCGTTTGTAAATGCTCTCAATAAAGAAATAGACCAAAATACGCAAGTTTACTTTGAAGTTTCTTTTATCGTCTTTTGTCATTAAACTTTAATGTTCTATCGATAAAATATGTGGAAATACCAGAAGAAGCATTGGAGTAGGAGAGTTCAACTAGAAGACAGCAACCCCTTGGAAAAGCATACTTCATAACCGTGTGCAATATATGTATATTATAATATGTCACCTAAGATTCATTTTGGAAAACATTATAATATTATACAACAGAATAATTATACTTTTAATATTAGGAGGCTCTCATTTATTCTCGGACCAAAAGCGATTTTATACCCGAACATCTAATTCTCCAGCTGAATTTTTCAGGAATAAAAAGTTCACAATGATCATGCTTTTAGTAAGATACATACTGCTTATCCTCGGCCCGTTCACTAATTAACCGTTTGTCATCAAATGGCTACAAGAATCTGTTACGTATCACAGCCAAGTCATTTTTATTTGAAATAAAGAAATTATTTATTTATTCTTCAATTTGAACGTGAAATATATTTTAAAGTATGACGTAAAATTACAGAAATACGCCCCTCCCCCCTCCCTTCCTGGCATGAACTATTTACATTATTAAACGGAAATAAATGCGTATTACGGGATTGAGACGTTTGACGACAGTGACTATTTCTCGTCTCCTGCATTGATTGCATCATGATGGGAAAACGGGATTGAGTCTATATTGAACTAATTAATTAGAAATCGACAGATATTTTTGTCTGCATGCTCATTTACCTCTAAGGGGTTAAAATATCAAAGAACTAGGACGTCGGTTTTTAGATAGGCTGTAATTATAAATGTATTGACTGCAGGGCCTCACCCGGGGGGGGGGGTCACCATTCTTAGCACTTTTCAAGTGATTGCGGGGCCAGATTTGTCAAATGTAAACCCCCTTGGAATGTTTTGAAAGTGACCCCCCCCCCCATTGACAAAATGTGATTACGGTCCTGCACTTTTTACAAAGCTTTTAAAAACAGGTCGTGTAGAATGTAGACCCCCGTTGCTTGATATTTATAGCAAAAACATTGACATTTGAAAGTTTGTGACGCTGCGCTATTTTGAATAAATGACTTATATCTAAGAAGCCTATCGGTTGAAAAAAATACCTAGAAGACTTAACATATTTCCCAATGTCATGCACCTATTAATTTAGCAATTGAATTATAATTATAAACTTTCTCTTGAAACAATAAATCTTCCAGATTTGATGAATTTTTGGACAAAATCGGCTACCCCCCCCCCCTCCGTTCATTACTTCCGATCATCGGGCGTGATGTTGATTTTTATAATATGTTATGTTATGTTATGTTATATTTATTTCCATATTATAATTCTTACAATTGAATAACAATATATCTCTCTAAAATTAAGTTTGAAATAAACCGAAGAATAATCAGCAAGTCTGATTGAAAATACACATCCTGTAAAAGAGAGAAGAATTTAATCCGTCTGAATCTGATTGCAAAATATAAATGTCTCATTAGGAAATTAATCCCTGCTATTTAACTTGCACATAATCTAAAAGCTAATAGTCAAAAACCGGGGTCAAAAAGCTTATCACAATATAGTAGAACATCTTGGCTTCAGATATTATTTTCTCATGAATTTTAAAAATCGGCCGAGAACTGATTAAGTAACATTCCGCACACGCCGTCTGATTGCATATTTGAAACGACAACATCCGATCTACTACAGTATAAATAATCCAATTGACTTTGATAGCATATATTTGTTTTCAGACATATTTTGTATTTGCGCCAGCTTCGACCCCCCCCCCCCCCCTTCACGTGATGCCTTTCAAATCAATTCATTTCACAAATGACATAGAACTGCAAACGCCTGTTGCGTTTATTCCAAATGCAACAAGGCTAGCAGTTGAATAATAAAACAAGACAAATCAAAATCATCCAACATACGTATCATGCCGGGGTATCATGTAGTAAATTTCACCAGCCTATGACTTTTAAATACATTCTTTATATGTACCTGTATAGTAACTCCGAAAAATCAAGTATCATCAGTATTTTTAACAAACTGGGACTTTTGATGTGAAAATCAATCATGATAGCAATATATGAGCAACGGTTTAGATTAAAACTGGGAAAAGCAGGCGGTCGCCGTCTGGGTCGCCGTATGCTTGACGCACGGCTAGTGTAACAATGTGAAGGGTAACAGCCCGCTTCCCCTATAACCTTGCCAATGTCCATATACGCTTCTGCTTTTTCAAATTTCGGATCACCTTTGGGATGGAGATAATATACATGTAGATTTGTTACTGGGGGGGGGCACACAGAAACAGACATTCTGGAGAAATAAGGGATTATCGGGGACTTATTTCCAAATCCACAGATTAGTGTCAAAAGAAGTTATTTACAAGGCTATGATTTTAAATGGATAATTGACTCTTAAAACATGGGTTAAAGGCTAGTCCAAGTGCAGACCCGTACCAAGCTTATGTCATGTTATGTAGGGGGGGGGGGGGCTGAACCCCGACAAGGGGGTTCACATTTATGATCAAGAAAGCAACGTCCGAGTTATTTGATATTCCTAACCACTTAAAGAGGTGAATGAGCAAAACCTCCGTTGATTTTTAATTAATAAGTTCAATATAGACTCAATCCCGTTTTCCCATGATGATGCAATCAATGCAGCTGACGGGAAACAGACACTGTGTCATCAAATGTCTCAATCCAGTAATACGCATTTATTTCCTCAAACTAAGATGAATATAACAGTTTCTTAAGAACAAAAACCGTAATCAGTTTTTATCAAGGGGGCTATTTTTCAAGAATCCAAGGGGGTTCACTTTTGAAAACTTTGGTCCTAAAGACCACTTGAAACTGCTCAAAATGGTGAAAAGTTTAAACTGTATGATTTTGGGAGATTTTTTGGTCGTTGAGGGGGTCGTTCGGGTGCACGCATCATTTCCGCGATCTGGGGGGAGAACCCCCCAGATCCCCTTATACTCGCTCTGAAATTGGTCAGAATGCATCAAATTAAATTATGTTAAATTTTCGAAATTTGCTAGGGGAGAACCCCCCAGTTCTGGTCAGAATGCACCAAATGATGTTCAATTTTCGAAATTTTCTGGGGGGGGACTCAAACCCCCTATTCTCGCTCTGAAATTGGTCAGAATGCATCAAATTAAATGATGTTCAATTTTCGAAATTTGCCAGGGGAGAACCTCCCAGACCCCCATTTCTCGCCCAAAACTGGTCAGAATGCACCAAAGACGTTCTTCCCCCAGACCGGGCCCAAGATCCCCCTTTCTCGCGCTTGTTCGCTGGGGGGGAGGGGGTACTGTCGGGGGTGGTTCGAGCCCCCTTACAAAAAGCTGGCTACGGGCATGGACGCATCCCCCATGGGAAATTCCCTGTGGGTGCCAATGGGGTGCGCGTCCGAGGAGGGGCGTATATAGTCCACGAACATCCTAAAAATTCAGAAGTATCATATATCCTCCTCTCTTATCAGTTTTCTAATCCTAATTGATTAATTCGATTTTTGCTTTCCCCTCATCAGTTGTCTCCTTCATCTTTTTGTATTAATTATTTGTTTTCCCTAATAGTTATAAATATAAAAGGAGTTCTAATTTTGTTATGTTTTGGGAATTTGGTTTTGATGTTAACATGCAAGGGAATTATCTCCCACTCCCCCTTCTATTTTGTAGACAATATACAAGTTAAATAGCAGCGATTTATTCCGTGTTTGAATTCACTTTTACAGGATGTGTATTTTCAATTAGACTTGCTGATTGTTCGATCATTTAATTTATCTGAAGCCATTAGACAAAAAATGTTTCAATTTTTAGAATATTTTTTGGCTTATATCATTTAAATACACAATTTCTTAGTGAGTTAGATCCAATGGCTTCCCAAATCAGATTTCTATTTATCATTCCTCTCTTGAAACTGTCCGATTTAATTCAGTGTCGGGCCGAGGGCAACCCTTTGAATGATGAATATATGTAACCATTGATATTTTGAACGTAGGGACATGTATCAAGGTTAGATTCAAGGTACAAAATAACCAGTTAAGGTTTTTTCCAAGAGGTAGATCGTTTTGAGGGAAAAGAGTACTGTATATTCAAAATCCGGATCAAAACAACATTATATTGTTATTTGTTGTCCAGTTCTACGTATTAATGCCGAATTATGCTGTTTGTTAGCAACATGATGTGGATTGATTTCTATATGGCAAGTTATTTTGATTGCAAAGGCCTATGGTAATATTGTTTTCATCAAATTATAGCTATTTATCAGAGATATCTAATATGCGGAATTAGAAATAGTACTTCATAAAACCTAACGCAACTCCATAGACTGCAATCAAAGCCCGAAATCAAGATAAGTCCCTTGAATATCCTGTCTGTGAAGAACCAAAAACCGCAATCAAACAAGTATTATGTGGTCTAGATTAATGATCAAGGAAATCAATTCGTGGGAATCATTATTATTGAGTTGATTGTATTTTTTGTTTACAAGAAAACGTTTCGTGCATATTGTACATTTAAGGCTTGCGCTAACCTGATATGTGAGTGTGTTGGGGTTTTGTTGACAGATCGCGATTTGGATCCCCGGGTTCGGATCATAAATTATTTTCACCAAGGCGCTTGCACACTCGTGTATTATTTGTCAGTCTGTAAAATATTCGTCATCTGTTATTAAAGTTCAATGCGTTTCTGAATCCCGCTATTTCATATCATAAAAAACTGCACGTAATGTCGTTAGTCATTTAGGCCTATATTTCGTAATTTATTCTTTGATGTCTATCCGTTACACTTAATTTCTCAGTTTCTAAACGTTTCATTCAATTTTGCTATAAAGGAGATTGAAGACTACAATTAAAGTGTATGTTTTACTAATCTTTTAACTTTTTTAAAAGTATTGGATTTTTGGGAGTAACGAGGTTCGGAGTAATAGCGTGTCGCTCCCCCTCCCGCCCCCACTCATTTTTATGTGTTATACCTCATTTGATTTTTCATCAATTATCGTTAAATCACACTCTTTAATACATAAACAAATTCAAAATTATATATCTTGGAGAAATAAAATATATATTTCATAATGAAAATATTAATTTATGCAGTTGGTCAGTATTGAATATTAAGTTTCACAGTCTGAAACCTCAAGGGCGGGAAATTGGATTAAATAAAACGAAATATAAATACTTAGTCACATCATATCAGTGCAAACAATTAACTACATTTATTTTTCTATGCGATATACATGTACACCTGATATTGATATCTTTCCTCTGACAATGTGTTATCTCATGGTCCGTTGACATCATCAAACTTGTGATTAACCAAAAGAGACCAAAAAAGATAGTAATACGCATCGGTAAGTCAACAAATCTAACCGTTAAATAAACAAATTTAGTTGTTCGTCTGCTGGTCAGAACTTGGTATCCGATTCGGATACCGACTTTCTGAGAATACTAATGATATGTAGGATTACCAGCCGTGATACTTTTCATAAAACAGGCATCTAGTTAGAAAATTATTGCAATTTTGATTAATATCGTCATTCACAGTATAACCCGCCTATGTTTATTAAAATATGCATTATTCATAAAATGTATAGACTAATATCATCTTTTCACTCTTGATTTGAATTGGTATCTTGTATCTAAAGTTGTCTTCATCTATATTATTGGATTAACATGAGCCTATGATGTAACCTAAACATATAAATACTAGTTGCCAGTCTACAAATTGAACATACAAAATGTAGCATATTCATTACACACTATATTAACACGGGGTACCATCGAATAATTTTGGCAACGTACCGGAGAACGACATTTTACTAAGAAATGGCAATAATTTAGCACAATATATTTTTTAACTAGAGTTCTATTTTGATTTTGACAAAAGTAAGTATTCCATGCAATAACTATTTCATTCATGAGTTTGTAGGAATTCTGTTGGAACCCAGTTCTGATCAAATACGAAGTTATTGAAATCGGCGCAGTCGGACTTTACTCCGAAAGATGGTTTTTCGATTATAACTTTTTACAACATTTATATATAGACTTTTGAAAAAAGTACAGAATAGTCCTTATACTATTGAATAATTCTGTTATTTCTGATTCACACGACTCTGATTTGTTTAATTAAAAAAAAAGTTTTAAAAATATTACTTAGGAACGTAACCGGAGCTGGGAACGTAACCGGAGCAGATCAGTTGAATTATATAATTTAAAAAAATAAAATATTTGATTTAAAGCATATATATCATTTACAAACACATATGAATGTTAAAATGAGCATTTATTACCCTTCACTTACAGGAAAATCAATGCATGGCAATTAGTATAAATTAGAAATTGATTAGAAATTAGTATAACAGAGTGGGATCTAATAGTTCGCTGAACAAATACAATGGGTGAAATCAAATGGAATTATTTGCTTACTACATTTAATCACTTCATTCTCCATACAATGATTGTTCTATGTTTGATAGCCTTTCTAAGGTAAGTGCACTTATGCATGGTAAATACCAAATTTAATTTTTCACAATGGATAATTTTTTTTCTTTAAATAAAATGTAATAAATACGCATTCGAACAATCCCGAATGTTTTTAAATTAGTATACGTGCTTTAAATCATATATTTTAATTTTTTGGATTAAATAATTCAACTGATCTGCTCCGGTTACGTTCCCAGCTCCGGTTACGTTCCTAAGTAATATTTTTAAAACTTTTTTTTAATTAAACAAATCAGAGTCGTGTGAATCAGAAATAACAGAATTATTCAAAAGTATAAGGACTATTCTGTACTTTTTTCAAAAGTCTATACTTAAATGTTGTGAAAAGTTATAATCGAAAAACCATATTTCGGAGTAAAGTCCGTCTGCGCCGATTTCAATAACTTCGTACTTGATCAGAACTGGGTTCCAACAGAATTCCTACAAACTCATGAATGAAATAGTTATTGCATGGAATACTTACTTTTGTCAAAATCAAAATAGAACTCTAGTTAAAAAATATATTGTGCTAAATTATTGCCATTTCTTAGTAAAATGTCGTTCTCCGGTACGTTGCCAAAATTATTCGATGGTACCCCGTGATTAATAGAAAAAGGTAATCATGTCATACCAATAGTTAGATGGTTAACTTATATTAACACAAAAGAATAATACACGATAATTGAAAAAATAAACCTCGGTATTCGGGGCTAAAATCCAAGGATACCTGTACCATTACTCCAGGATACGCTACAATACCATATCGGATACCTGTACCATTACTCAATAATAACCACAACTACGACCATAATAACAAGGTCAATACCGAGTTTATTGCAAGTTATTTTATACGATTTTGTCTTGTGTTATAAACAAATGTTAAGTCAATAGTTATATCAATCAGCTAAAAATGTCGGAGTTATTCACTAATTTGGTTTTAGCTACATTCACATGCCTGGACAACAAACAACGATTCCATCAGTGTTTGAGAGGGAGAAAATATGGAAGACATACAGCCCGACATCTATACAGGATATCCGAACCTTACTCGGTACAGTAAACGTTTCAGGCTGCTGTGTCAGAAATATATACATTTATGTTTATAGCTTAATTCGTGTCATTGTTCGCTATTCAGTTGCTGTACACTCTGTTTGTTTCGAACGTTAGTGCATGGTTCTCTAAAATGGTCGTTTTGAACTGAAAATAATAATAAAAGATCGGAAATTTTTATTTTTAACAAGAGTATAGCTCACAATTTTCGATTTGAAAGTGACCAACCGACCAACTCGGCTAATCTGCAATTGCTTTTAAAGATTCAGCAATTCAGTTGCTATTCAGTTGCTGTACACTCTGTTTGTTTCGAACGTTAGTGCATGGTTCTCCAAAATGGTCGTTTTGAACTGAAAATAAGCATAAAAGATCGGAATTTTTTGTTTTTAACAAATATAGTTCATAATTTTTGATTTGAAACTGACCAACTGACCAACAAAGCTGAATCTGCCAATGTTTTCAAAGATTTAGCAAAACAGTTTGAATTCTATCGGGATCTTTATCTACTGATCCTACTTTCGCGATTATAGTCTATACTTTATCCTTTTGAACAGGAGATACCCAGCACGCTGAATTCCCAATATACCGCACTGGAACTAAGAGCGACATCTGGGCAACTGTGTGTACAGGTAATCGATTTTCAGACGTTAATTTCAAGAAAAAATAAACAAATTATCGAATAAGTAAATGTATTCACCTTCGTCCATTCCCTGGTGTGCTACTTAGACCATAGGTAGGTACATATAGATACGTTTACTATACCGCCTTCCAACAGTTCATATGTAGGGACATAGAACAGCCCTCAATTATCCAAAATGTCCAACCTAGTGAAATTCAAGTCTCCCTGACACAAATCATCTGTAAAGATAAATCCGATAAACCGTTATAGTGTTATACATTTTGCAAGTGAATTTTTCCAACATTGCACATTTGTATTGTGTTCCTTCATTTCACTTTCAGCTGTGTTCGACATGAACAAAAAGCACCTCATGTTCTTCAGAGACAACCCTGCTACTACAGACCAACTGCTTACTATACCATTTGACATATTGAACATGATTTGGTGATATTTTGAACATGAACTGGAAATATTTTAAACACCGTCCAAAATTTCAGTTTTGAGGAAAAACAATTCCTTTAGTGATAAGGCTACTATCGAAAACTGTTTCGACGTGAAAGGCTTTGGTGGAAAGTGATCGTAAGGGGATTAAGGACAATAGTTAAAGGCATGTTACTGTAAATAGACTCATTATATGAACAAAAATGATAAATTTATTAACTTTGCTGAATTTTCATTGTATGATATTAATGTTATGATACAAGGGGCGATCAACAAATAACGCAAATAGAGCCCTATCTCAGAAACTAATTAATTGGAGTTAGAACACCAAATTTAATACGTAGTATCACCAAATATTCATTATTATTGCAACAATATCTGAGGCACAAATATTACTTTATGTCAGAGTTACGGTTGCCATAGAAACCCGTGGTATGGGCACTTGAAGCAGGTCGTGAATCATAACAATACGGTATTGAACGTCTGTCTAAAATGAGTTTGAAAGACGATGTTAAGTCATACTTTGATGTTATTAGGGTGTAAATCAATTCTGAAAAGTGTCTGTTAATTGATGTGATCTACTTTTAATCGTTATTTCATAATGGCTAGCCAACAATAGCTTTGTCATTAGGCTATACATGTCGATACCCAACGATAAGATGACAAAAACCACAGGCATTGAGGAAATCAAAGTCAAGTCAGCCATACTAAAAAATGGTAGTATTGAAAACTTAAGTCATCAGACTTCCATAGAAGACAGAGAGAACTGATATAATGCTGTGACACGTCGCAAAAAGTTCGCGCACGTATTATTACACATTTTCGCTTTTTAACACCACAGAATGTGACGTTTTTTTTGAGAAAAATGTACACATATGGAAATCCTTTCGTCCTCTACATTTACCTCTATATCTCAAAATATTTATGGCGAATTACTCTGATATCGCATATGTATTAACAATGGGTTAGGAGAATCATAAAACACGAATCAATTGATATTTTAGGTGAAATAAACATACGTGTTGCTGTGCTTGAAAATAGGCGAATGACGTTAATTAGCCCTATTTTAATGAATTGTGAACGGACTGTAGTCCTATTTTAATGAATTTTGAAAACCTTTCGTCCTCCACTTTTCCACATACAACAGAAAACACATACTTTTGCGAACAAAATCAACTATTTATTAATAAACTAGAGTTAAAGAGCAAAATAGTCATGTATGATTTATTAGACTCCAGATTGAAAATCTGGAGTCTATTGTTTTTGCCTCTTTTCTTATTCTTATTAGACTCCAGATTGAAAATCTGGAGTCTATTGTTTTTGCCTGTTTTCTTTATTAGACTCCAGATTGAAAATCTGGAGTCTATTGTTTTTGCCTGTTTTCTTATTATTATTAGACTCCAGATTGAAAATCTGGAGTCTATTGCTTTTGCCAGTTTTCTTTATTATTATTATTATTATTATTCTTCTTCCTCCTTCCCAGATTTCTCACCAACTAGAAGAGCTTACTTTAAGCTGCTTACATGACCAACTAGGGAATGTATCTGGCTTTCTGGGAAATTAGGTCAAATTTTTATCTAGGTCAAAGGTCAAGAACTAGGTCAAATCCAGTACTTTGTCACTTTTTCCCATTATCTCGATCGTCCTTCAATATTTTTGATCCTGGTTTTTTTCATTGTGTTCCTCATAAAAAAGTAGAAAACCTAGGGTCGATTTAGTTTTTTGGTATCTCAAACCGATTTCGAGATATCAGTGTCCGAAAACGAGGTCCAAAAAAAATTTCACCGAATCCAATGTCCAGGATATCAGTCTTATAGGAAATTTTCTCAGGATTCTGAATCTGAAAACCAAATTTCGATCTGACTTCCGGTTCAGAAGTTATGGCGTTTTGAAAATTCAAAAATCGCTAAATTTGGTGCCCCATGTTAATTCAATGGGAAAAAATATTTTTTTGAAGTGTAAAATACGAGATATAGACTAAGCACAGTTAAACATAATGGAAGCCCATAAGAGAAAGGGACCACAAGACCTTCTTTTCATAAATATTTGGACACCAAAATGCCTAGGTCAAAATCTAGGTCAAATTCAAAGTTTTTCCTTATTTTTGCGATTCTGACACTACAGATTAATTATATTCTTCGAAACTTTGTATACATGTAGCCAAGAGTGTGCTAATAGTGTTAGCCTTTTGCCGTCAGAAAGTATTTTGACCCACTTTTGAGATATGGTGTCCGAAAAGTAGGTCAAACTAAAAAGTTCTCCAAATTTAACGTATGAGTTATGAATTAAGGGTAGAATTTTCTCAGGAATCCAAATCTGCAAACCAAATTTCAATCCGACTTTTGGTTTGGAATTTATGTCGTTTTGATAGCTCAAAAATCGCTAAATTTGGTGCCCCATGTTATGGCAATGGGAAAAAAGATTTTTTGAAGTGTAAAATACAAGATATAGACTGAATACAGCTTAATATAATGAAAGCCTATTAAAGAAGGGGACCTCGAAGGCTACTTAGCTCCAAAATTTGGACACCAAAATGCCTAGGTCAAAATCTAGGTCAAATTTATAGTTTTCCCTTATTTTTGCGATTCTGACACTATATTTAAATGATTTGCTTTAAAATTTTGTATACAGGTAGCAAAGAGTATGCTTATAGTGTTAGCGTTTTGCCGTCAGAAAGTATTTTGACCCACTTTTGAGATATGGTGTCCAAAAAGTAGGCCAAAGTAAAAAGTTTCCAAATTTAACGTATGAGTTATGAATTAAGGGTAGAATTTTCTCAGAAATCTAGATCTGCAAACCAAATTTCGATCTGACTACTTGTTCTGAAGTTATGGCGTTTTGAGATCTCAAAAATCGCTAAATTTGGTGCCCCATGTTAAATCAATGGGACCGAATAATTTTTTGAAGTGTAAAAATACGAGATAAAGAATGAGTACAGCTAAACATAATGAAAGCCCATAGAAGAAGGGGACCTCAAAAGCTACTTTCCTTCAAAGTTTGGACACCAAAATACCTAGTTCAAAATCTAGGTCAAATTCATAGTTTTTTTTATTTTGCGATTCTGACACTACACTTCAATGATATTCTCCGAAATTTTGTATACTTGTAGCAAAGAGTGTGCTTATAATGTAACATTTTGCCGTCAATAAGTTTTTTGACCCTCTTTTGAGATATGGTGTCCGAAATGTAGGTCAAAATAAAAAAATCTCCAATTTTAAAGTATGAGTTATGAATTAGGGGTAGAATTTCCTCAGGAATCCGGATCTGAAATTAAAATTGCAATCCGACCCCCGGTTTAGATTCTACGCCATTTTGAAGTTTGAAATTCGCACTTGCCAGTATTCACGATGCAGATTGATCAAATATACTTTCATAAATTCCTGCATACCCTACTTTACCTCTCTACCTACTCAACTACTTATTTGACTACTTACTCAATTACTTAATTAGTTATTACTTACTTAGCAACTTACTCAGCTACTAACTCAGGTACTTACTCAGCTACTTACTCAGCTACCTACTCAGCTTTTTACTCAGTTACTTACTCAGCTACTAACTCAACTACTACTAAGGTACTTACTCAGCTAATTACTCAGTTACTTACTCAGCTCTTTACTGATCTATCTAGGTCAAATAAATCTGGAGTCTTAAATTGAACTTGTTCAATTTCACAAATCTAGTTATTCATTCTTTCTTTCTTTCTTTCTTTCCGAACACTTTTTCTCAGCAACTAGAAGAACTTACTTTAACCTACTTACATGGCTAACATAGCCCATCAACCTAGTTTCTGGGAAATTAGGTCAAATTTTTATCTAGGTCAAAGGTCAAGAACTAGGTCAAATTTAGGTAAAATCAACATTCTGTCAATTATCTTCGTTGTTACTTGTGGTAACTCCTTCATCTTTTTTTCAACATGTAGCTTAGAAAAAAACAAATCGAGAGTGTGCCATCCGTTTTTTGATAACTCTTAGCGATTTTGAGATATGGCGTCCTGAAAGTAGGTCAAACTAAAAAAGTTCTCCAAATTTAGCATATGAGCTATGAAATAAGGGTAGAATTTTCTCAGGAATCCGAATCTGCAAACCAAATATCGATCCGACTTCCCGTTCGGAAGTTATGGCGATTTGAAAGCTCAAAAATTGCTAAATTTGGTGCCCCATGTTAAGTCAATGGGAAAAAAGACTTTTTTTAATTGTAAAATATGATTTATAGACAGAGTGTAGCTTAACATAATGAATTCCTATAATAGAAGGGTACCCAAAAGCTACCTAGCTTCAAAATTTGGACACCAAAATCCCAAGGTCAAAATCTAGGTCAAATTGATAGTTTTTCCTAATTTTTACGATTCTGACACTACACTTAAATGATTTGCTTCTAAATTTTGTATACAGGTAGCAAAGAGTGTGCTAATAATGTTAGCCTTTTGCCGTCAGAAAGTATTTTGACCCACTTTTGAGATATGGTGTCCGAAAAGTAGGTCAAAATAAAAATTTCTTGAAATTTAACATATGAGCTATAAAACAAGGGTAGAATTTTCTCAGGAATCCGAATCTGCAAACCAAATTTTGATTTAACTCCCAGGTCGGAAGTTATGGCATTTTGAAAGCTCAAAAATTGCTAAATTTGGTGCCCATGTTATATCAATAGGGAAAAATATATTTTTGAAGTGTAAAATACCAGGTATAGACTGAGTACAACTCAACATAATGAAAGTCTATAAAAGAAGGGGACCTCAAAGACTACCTAGCTTCAAAATGTGGACACCAAAATGCCAAGGTCAAAATCTAGGTCAAATTCATAGCTTTTCCTTATTTTTGCGATTCTGACATTACACTTTAATAATTTGCTTCAAAATTTTGTATACATGTAACAAAGAGTGTGCTAATAGTGTTAGTCTTTTGCCGTCAGAAAGTATTTTGACCCACTTTTGAGATATGGTCCGAAAAGTAGGTCAAAATAAAAAGTTCTCCAAATTTAACTTATGAGATATGAATTAAGGGTAGAATTTTCTAAGGAATCCAAATCTGCAAATCAACATTCAATCCGACTCCCAGTTTAGATTCTATGCCATTTTAAAATTCACATTTGTTTAAAATTCACATTTGCCAGTATCCACAATGCAGATCCATCAAATATACTTTCAACCATTCCTACTTACCTACCTACCTACATACCTACTCGGCTACCTACTTAGCTACCTTCTTCTCAGCTACCTACTCAGCTACTTACTCAGCTACCTACTCAGCTACTTACTCAGCTACCTTCTCAGCTACCTACTCAGCTACTTACTCAATTACTTAATCATCTACGTACTCAGCTTCCTACTCAGCTCTTTACTCAAGTAAATCAATCTGGAGTCTTAAATTGAACTTTGTTCAATTTACCAATCTAGTTATTCTTTTTTCTTCCTCCTTACCAAATTTCTCGTCAACTATAACAGCTTACTTAATCTAACTTACATGGTTAACTTAAGACTGTATCCGGCTTTCTGGGAAATTAGGTCAAATTTTTATCTAGGTCAAAGGTCAAGAACTAGGTCAAATCCAGTACTTTGTCACTTTTTCCCATTAACTCGGTCGTCCTTCAATATTTTTGATCCTGGTTTTTTTCATTGTGTTCCTCATAAAAAAGTAGAAAACCTAGGGTCGATTTAGTTTTTTGGTATCTCAAACCGATTTCGAGATATCAGTGTCCGAAAACGAGGTCCAAAAATTTTTTCTCGGAATCCAATGTCCAGCATATCAGTCTTATAGGAAATTTTCTCAGGATTCCGAATCTGAA